TCCTGCTCGTCTGCTGATGATGACTCTTCTTCCGAGGAGTCCATCTCCTCATCTTCTTGCTCGTCGAAGCCTTCGAATTCTTCTTCGTCCTCATCTCCATCCTCATCCACCCCTTCCATCTCGACATCCGCACCTTCAGTGGCAGCGTCGTCTTCCCGCGCCATGCTGACTTTGCCCATCTCGCCTAACACCCCTTTCCGACCTTCGACGCCTTTTCCCCCTTCCTGCCCCTCTACCAGTGGCGGAGGCGTGAACCAGGGTATCTTCCCTCTCACAAAATCATTCAAAACCATTTTCGCAGCTCCATCAACGTCTGCCTCTCCACCCTTTAGTAACCTCCCGCCCTTCCTGGCCAGCAGCTCTAAGAATTCTGTGGCTGTCTCAAACCCTCCAATGTCATATGTACGCTGTATGTGCTGCGGTTTTGTTTTTCTGAGGACGGCGGCTATGTACTGTTCGGGGTTCTCGACGTTCTCCACCCGTACCACTCCCCTGAGGAGGATGTCTTCGGGAGAATCGTTGTTACTTGGCGGGACAACGCCTGGACAGTCTATGAGGTAAATCCTTTTCATCAATGTGATATATTGCCAAACTTTGGTCTCTCCGGGGATCGGAGCTACCGTGCAGACTTTCTTTTTCCTAAGGGTATTAATGATCGAAGATTTACCGGTATTGGGGTAACCTATGAATCCGACGGAAATTTGTTTGCGATTGGAGTGGAGGGACGAGAATTGCCGAAGGAGTTGAATTAGACTTCCTTTGCCGAAGCTGTTGGTTATCGACGCATGGAAGGCGAGAGTTGGGTAATCTTTGGATAGTGCGCGCACCCATGAAGCCTAAGAGGACGGTTAGCTAAATACCTTGCATAACATCCTTTCTTGAATGTATGTATGAAGCATTACTAAGAAAACCTCCATTTGTCCACCATTGTGTAGCAGCGAAGGTCTTCAACTCAAACGCAACATTCCCCGATCCTGTTGACCAGCTCGCCAAGACGGCGAGCAGTCTACGCAAGACCCAAAGGTCAGACGCGGCGGAAAGGGGGTTGATATATCCAACGCGTAACAGAGTAACAGTCCATGGTGATAATGCACAAAGTGCAGGAAAGCCTCTTGACTTGACGATTGGAAAGGTGGTGCGCCGCAAGGGGAAGAGTGATAATTCTTTGGCAACGACAAAGGGAATGCAACTACTTACGGCAACGCCTGTGGGGACCAGATCGCATTTATTTAGAACGAAAATCAAGTGCTTATGAGGTGCTTCTTCGCGAATATACTTCTCCACACTCCGACACCTCGTGCCCCAAGGATCCCGTGCATCTAGGACATGGATAACAACGTCCGAAGAGTCAATGACCTTGTATAGCTCGTTCCATATTCTTTTACTCTGACCCTTCGAGAATATGGGCTCCTTCGCTGTGGAAAGGACTGCGTCTTCTGGTGCGGCCTCACCAGCCTGCTCTTCCGAGCCAGATGTCCCACTCAGCAGCTTGGCTTGCTCCAGGCGTTCCAGGTACGTCACATGCATTTTTGTCGACTCTCCCGCAAGATCTTCCAAGGACCCGACTCCTAGCTTGACCCTTTTCCGCTGCGCCTTTGGCCCAAAAGTATCACCGAAAGGCGCTGACTCCACCTCGATCTTGGCTTGGTGCTGCTTCAGCCCGTTCTTGCCCTTGCCATCTCTTATCAAACTCATTGGTAGCTTATTGGATTTGAGGAGAATCTGATATGGATCCGAAGCCCTTTCTTGCATTGCATCCCGAAAATTGTTGAGGGCGTCCTGAGAAATGACCCGCGTGGCGTTAAACCTATGTTTTCGGAGTCAGCGCCGCTTCTTTGAGATGAGGTTTGAGTCGACGAAATACGTTCAAAGAGCAAATTGATCTTGGAGCATGTGTTACAACCTAGATCATGGTGAAGATTAAGAAGTCTTCAATCCAAACAGGGGACCCACCATTTTCGATTGGGCTCCACACGGGCTTTCGGTTTGTCTCGACTTTGAAAGCTGGCTGCTTTTGTGACCTTTCCGTTGGCATTCCGCTGTGCTTTTCCATCTTTGAACATGTTCAACGTCTTGGCCTGCTTGCCCGTCCGGTAGAAATTCTCTCCTTTGACCTTTACATTTGCCATTCCGTCTCCCACTTTGCCCTGCTTCTCCTTCCTCATCTTCTCTTTTTTGCCGGTACCCATCTTGATCGTCTAGGGGCAGCTTACTGCTGTTGCTTCTTGCCGTTGGCGGTACCCAGCCTGATCCCTAGTGCCATTTAAAGCTGCTGTTGTGTGATATTGATCATAATGATCGCAGTAGGGTCCGAGGGGTGTTCGAAGTGCGGACTTTTCCTTTTCTGCGCTAGGCAAAACATTTCCCCGTCCGCGCCCTGATTGTGATTTGGACAAATCGAAAAGTTAAGAGCATCAACTAAACGCTCCATCATTGTAAGCCACCATGCCTCCTCGAGCTGTGGGTACACAACGCTGCCTCAGACCACGGCAATGTATCCACCACACCAAATCACCGGGCTTTAGCACATCCTCCCCCTCCCGTGCTCAAATACCCCCGGAGTCGCCCAAGTTCATTGAAGTCCCACGCCTCGTCCAACCAAAACAACCCTTCCCCGTACGCATGAAAGGCGTCCTTCCTCCTCCCAGAGATATTTTCCATCGGCGAAAAGAGGGGAAGATACCCAGAGCCTCTCCGGAATACTTCGCCGCTGTCACCCCCGAACCCCTTGAAGATAAAACCACCAGATCAGACGACGAATTCGTGAGTTGGAAAGCCCGTCAATCGGAGCTACGGCGGCGAAATCTTCGGGAAGGGTTGGCAGAGCTGCATCAGAGGAGACAGGAATCTGATCGAAGGAGGAGTATAATAAGTGCCGCAAATACCAGGATTAGAGAAAAGCGTCTTTACGCCCCTGAACGCAAAGATGTTCGGCTCACCAACCCCTCAGTCCTCTCAACTCAACAGCCAACAAAACACCGCGCGCTTCCTGATCCCACGCGCCCCGGTCGTCTCGCGGTCATGAGCCAGAATGTCGCCGATATGGCAGCCATGCGGGAAGAGGCCCGGAGAAACGCCTTACACACTCTTTACGTCAATGCTGGTGATTTCATTACAACAGGCAAGCAGCTGGACGAGGTGGTTGACAGGGCGTTCGATGATAATAGCCAATTCAGGACCGATAGTAGTGAGGGACTAAATATTTGGAATCTGGGATTCCCGGAGACGGTGCAGGAGTTGTTAGGGAAGGCTAACAAGACTGGGAGGCAGACAGCGTTGGATAGCGCGGAGGGGAATGAGATTACTACCAGGGAGAGGATGAAGAAGATTGGTGAGGAACTGACGGGAGGGAAGATGTTGGAGGAGAGATGAAGTGTGTTCTCGTGGTTGTGGGGAGAGGAACGCAATAAGATTGATTGCGTAGACTGATCGTTCTTTTGTACATAGGCCTCCACATCAAAGGATTCATACATGATGCTTTCGTCAAGTCCACGCTGCTGCACACTCTTTCTTTCGATACCTAGGCTTTCCAATTGGGCATCTGTTGGTAGGCGTCATCCTTTTTGCCCACTACAGTCCCTAGAGATATAGATCTGGCGTCCTCGGCCATACAAAGCCCATTGAGCTCTTCATAAGCGCCAGATGGCGCAAGACGAGCCCGTTCTTCTCGAACGGGACAGGGTTATGGAAACATGCTTCCCTGATATGGAATTGGGTGTTATCGAGCAGCTCAGGATCTTCTGGATAAAGCCTCACTGATGTTGTTGCCCGTGGTGAAGAGTGTAGAAGGAAGAACGGTGAATGATACTGAGAGACTGGCTAGAGATTGCGAGGAGGTTGCATCGAATCAGACCACGTGGCGAGCAGATGTTTTGGGCAACATAATCGCAAGCGAAAGCGCCTTCAGTGACAGCAGCGGCTAGACCCAAAGTTGTTTAGCTCCAATGTGTATTGGTGATCTAGAACTCTCTGGTGGGCAAGATCGAATATTACTCCTACACCACCAATAACGTACAGTAATACTAAGCTATCCTCCAGGCTCCATGGAACGAAGTAGTCTCTAAGAGCTGGGCTTGAAGACACAGCAGCCAAGCGTTAGTTGAAGTCAGCCACTGCTCAGACGCAGGTCCCTAAGGCAATCAAGATTAAAGCGGTCCAGCTGCCACCTCGGGTTCGCCTAATGCTAGAATATACCCGCACACTGCTGTATGAGGGCAGCGGATGGTCCTCCGATACTTGTTGACTCCTGAGAGAATGCTGACCTAGGCCGATTGGCAAAGCCACAGTGACCTGCGTAAATGGTAAGCTGCTTTCTAAAAACTTCTACAATAGACGAGGTCTGTCCAAAAAGGCATGCCATTCCTCGACGAGACACCCGTGCCGCCACTGTCTGTCGCTACCCACCTTGCGTGAATCCTGCCATTGGCCCCAAGGATTGATTGATCAGGGGTACATCAATGCCAAGTGAACGCCTTCATGCATCCTGCTGGCTTACATTTCCTAAAACGGAACGCTTACATTTCCTCACCCGCTGTAGATATCTTCAGCCTCGTCCCAATGCACAGAACAAGTCACGGGTTATCAAAAGCATCGCCTCCTAGTCCCAGCCTCTTCTTAAAACCCGCCCTCTCCCCCCAAATCTTCCCTAAATCTTCCTTTTTCAATTTTGTTCTAGCTCGCGCTTCCTCGTTGCTATACAGCTGGGAATTGAAGAAAAACATGCGTTTTCTATTGCCCATTGCGCTATTTTCGTCGTGCGCGTCCACTCTTGTCCTACCCCCTTTCATTACACCTGCACCGCAAGTTGCTAAACGCAAGGCTGCCGAGAACATTTGCGGCTACTACTCGCTCGGTGGTCTAAGTATGCTCCTGGGCGCCTTCTTCGTCCAATCGCAAGGCTGAGAGGTATAAAGTCAGCACTATCTCCTGTCCCGTCGACACACCATGCATGGTGGCAACAGACTCGTCACCTGCTGTAGGGTACTGTTCTGGTATTGATAATGACCCCGTCACGACAATATACGGATACGGGTATTGGCCTTCTGAGGAAGGATGTGGCCCTGGAGCAGCGTGTTGGTAAGCCCTACAAAATGCTGGTTTGAAAGCTGAACGTATGGACTAATGGAAAAGTCCATCTGCGACACCTGACGTTGGGCAATATCTTTTTAACGCTGGTGAAACTGTCTTTCTTGGCTGTGGCCTCCTACCTTTCACCTACACCGCCTTCTTCTCAGCGGAGGCCGGGTTTGCGAGCCTGTCGACGCCTGCTGCGGCTCAAACTCCAGCTTCTGCTACCGCTACAACCACATCGCTGCCTCATTCAACCACCGATCTTCTGGCGGGCGTCACTACCCGCCCCGTTTCAGATACCTCCACAACCCCAGTGGCACCACTTCCATCGCAAACAGCCACATCATCAACCTTCTCAAGTACAACAACGAGAACAGTAGTAATCGTTGGGGCGGTTGTTGCTCTGGTCGGTGGTCTAGTGTTCCTGTGGTTTCTATTCATGGCCTGGAAAATCCACCAGGCGCACAAGTACCCGAAGCAACAATATACGCCCCTTTCGTATCAGGGCTCGACCGCCTCGCCCCAATCAGGGGCTCCTGTCAACAAGAGCGGGCTGAGTAAGTGGGCAAAGATTGCTACGGTCATCAGTCCAATATTTGCTATCGTTGGGTTGGCTGTGGCAATATACTTTGGACTCAAGCAGCAGAAATGACGGGCAAATTGTATGAATCGACATGGTGTTGGTGGGCGTATTATTCCCTTGCCTTTTTGTTAATTCTAATGTCATGGTATTGCGAGATGTGCTTTGTACAACATAGTGTACGCCTGATGTATGACAATAGGAACATAGTACAATTGTGCCACCTACTTTCGAATCTCTCAGAAAAACTTCGACGAACACTCTTCTAAACGCTAGCTCTCACCAACCTCCGTCATATCTATCACCCTCGCACTCCTCGTCCCATTCCTCAACGCCGCCAACCCTCCCTCCTCCGATCCCTCCCCCAACGGCGGCCCCAACAACGCCGCAACGTTCCCGTGCAGCCCGATCCTCGCGAACCCGGCCGTGCCGTACTTCTTCAAGCAACCAAAGTAGATCCCGTTCAGATCCCCCTGCGCCCCCTCGAGCGAGAACGTCTCCGACGCCGTGGCCGGCACGCCCGGCCCGTACAGGTCCATGCTCAGGTGGCACGTCCGCCCCGTCGCGGCGTCCGTCTGGACGAACACGACGGGCAGCCGGTGCGCGCCCGTCGCGTATTCGGACCAGATCTCTTGCTTCCTGTAGTCGGGCAGGGTCCGGAGGCCCGTGAGCAGGCGCGCGCAGACGACGAGGGTGAAGCCGCCCGGCTGGCGCCGGCAGACGGGCTGGCCGATTATGGGGGCTCCGGTTAGGGTCGTGGTGGTGAGGGTGGGAGGGGGTGGGAGGGTGAGGGGGAGGGAGGGTGGGGTCAGGATGAGGAGGGTGAGGGAGAGGGTGAGGGAGGGGAGGGGGAGATGCATGGTTGTTGGTTTCTTGTTTTCGGAGAAGGGAGGGATGGGGATTGAAGAAAGAAAGAAAGAAAGAAAGGTGGAATGCTTCGAGTACAGGTTTGTTCCATCGGTGTTCGGGAAGTTTTGATGCGCAACAACCGCACTTGCGCTTTTTTTAACGAGAGGATACTTCCGTTTCTGTTTCCGTTTCCGAATGCGCTCGCTAAACTGTCGCATAGCTCTTACGAGCGCGAACAAAATGCGATGAAACATCGCGATTTTACAGCCACATGGGAGAAAGCTGTCGAAGCTTGTGGCTTTCGGTTTATGAAGGAAGGCGCGCCGTGCTGTTTTTTGGGGAACGGGGGGATTTTGATGCGTCATGCGAAGCCCTTCCCTGAAAAGACGGAGAAAACAGGCGTGATTGAGCATCCTTTGCAGGCAATTGCATCAACATACGCCAGCGTGTGGTCTCCCAACCTATTGCGCGATTATGGAATTGCAATCATGCAAACTGCCGCAAAAAGGAGATGCACAGCTGTCGTCGTTGCGTTACATACTCAACTTTTCCTCAGTCAGACAACTCCTCGCCTTGTCTCAACTCGCCGCGCCGCTCACAAGGAGAGAATTAATGCCCAGAGTCCTTCTCAGTATACCCACCTGTTGCACAAACAGCATGTCAATCTCGATGAAGCCATACTTACATCCTCACTCCGAAAGCCCCACCATCAGCGAGAGACGGAACGTCCGAAATATGTACCGCGCGGTATTCGACTTGGGCTCCGCCGAACCGGACGTAAAAACTAAGTTCCCGGCGATCGCTGTGTCGATCTCCGTTGTGCGCGTGTCGATTTCATGCGTGGGGTAGGTGATGGCGTCGCTGGCAGCAGGTATAGTCCCCCAAGCTCATCGGCTGAAAATCTGATGCCAATGTTGGGTTTGCTTTTGGGCAGGAAGGTCAATTCTGGCATACTACCGTTGAAGCTTCCTAACGCCAGGGAGACCATGGCATGGACATGGACCAGCAGATATGACGTCGCGTGGCGTCTAGGGCCATTGAAGGCCCGCACTGCACTAAGTTCTGGATTGGCCGCCTTGAAGAGCATTGCGATTTAGGAGTGCGTTTTTGCAGAATTATCGAGGTTGATGGGAGTTGGGTTTCTAACGGTAGCTGCATGCATAAGCGTCAAGTGTATTGAGAAGAGTAGAAGGAAGAGGGAAAACAAATGAGGCTTGCATCATGACATTTATACAGTAACAGATCATGGTAAATGGAAGGCATTGATCTAAACCAAATCGGCGTTTGATTTCGCCACTCTTTCGGGGATATCTCAGCATAAGCGGTCAGCTATGCGACAGGCGATTCATTTGAAAAGAGATAAGACGATTCATTCCAAGTGAGAGTAGTTCGTGCAACATGGATTTAAGACGATGGCATGGCGAATTGAGATAGAGAACCTCATCACTAGACAGGTTTAGCAACGAATTTCAAAAGAATGATTCAAAGCGGGAACAGCCCTACCCTTCTACCGCTAACCCGATTAGGCAATATCACGGATTTCGGCGAAACCTTTGCCGAAGAGTCACAAATCTCTTTGAATTTCACTTATTCTTCTTTTTTTATCACATATATACCTTATAAACTCCTCTAATGATGGGGCCCTCGTTGTAACGATCTTTATAGTTATATTGCTAGGCTATTGGGCTGTGATCGCCACCACGTTATAGATATATCCCCCTAGTGGAGTACGAGTAGACCGATGTTACTGAATCATTGTGGTTTAACTTATATATGCGTATAGTGTAAAAGATATTAATTAATCTATATGCCCGCAGGCATCTCATGACAATTGCCCCCAAAAAATAGAGAAATGCCATGTTCTTATAGCAAGAAGTATGTATGTATGGTTTTTCGAATGCGGGAAAGAAATGGAGACACCGGGCTAATTAGTGGTGTGCATCCCACGAAATCTCCTACTGGAATAAAAACTTTCGAATAATGAAATGGCTGTCGAAACAAGATATCGGACGGTTTTAATTCGTTCAAATATGCATCGTCCGATATGTTACGAGCGTACCCTTGACACACCACTCAGCCCTCAGCCCTATGGCTAGCGGGCCTTGGCGGAGGCATCTCCTACTATATCATGCCTCCTTCCCACCTACATAGTTCGGTAGCCTTATTATCCTCGTTCTACCTCACCCATACTGGTATCGCACCTATGCTGGTCCTGACATTATAATAAGGCTCCTTCGTACCCCTCTCGGCGAAGAGAAACTTAAACGGACAAGATGTGACTGAGTTCTCAGTTACACACTCGAGGATAGCAGAGTCACTAAACAGCTACCAAAGACCTACCCCCTTCCATTCGGATTAGCGGACGAATTCAAAGAAATGCGCTGGCAGGGGCTTTGGCAAGAAACCAAGTTGAGCCATCGTATCCCTGGGTAAGCCCACCAGACGGGTAACTCGATTCCAAAGAGCCTAACGGGACAGCGGAACGGCCTCGCCAAAACAGTGGGCGAGGGATAAATAAGGCACAGGGACTATTCGTACGACTAGCGAATTGATAATAGAAAGAAATCGTCACAAACCCCACACACAGTGAGCCTGCTACAATGGCAGCAAAGGTACGACCTCTTCACTGAGCATGTCGACAACACACATAGTGAGCCTGCTACAATGGCGACGGGAACAGACCCGGCAAAACGACTACGATTCGACCTCTTCACTGAGCATGTCGACAACACACATAGTGAAGCCTGCTACCAAATGGCATTCAACACATTCGATTCTTCTCTACCTCCCTATTAAACCTACGAATCAAATGAGATAAAGGATGAAATGGATGGACTTGATGGCAAGAGCATGGGAGACACAGGGCAAATCTACAGTGAAGCTCCCAGGCCAGGCTGCCAACTGGTGTTGAGGGGGTTTCATAACACATGCATGCGTTGGATTTTCTTCAATTCTACCGAAGGACTACGGCAAGAGATTGAAGAGGAACTCGGAGAATCTTGCTGGCACGCAGGCAAGATATGACCAACATCTCCAGGATCTCTGAAGGACAATGTGAGCATGGTAGGCATAACAAGCATGGCATTGTCAAGACCAGCATGCGATCCGGCAAAACCTCGGACATGGTGTTTTTGAACGAATTGAAACCATCCGATGTTCGACTGCTAAATCCTCTCCGGTCGAGGCCTACACGGACTATGGATGTTTGGAGACACAGGGCAAGCAATGGGCGTGCATCTCCGGTCTACCAGCCATGGGGGCCATGGCTATTGAGAGGGGGGGGGTAGTGTTACGAGCGTACCCTTGACACACCACTCAGCCCTCAGCCCTATGGCTAGCGGGCCTTGGCGGAGGCATCTCCTACTATATCATGCCTCCTTCCCACCTACATAGTTCGGTAGCCTTATTATCCTCGTTCTACCTCACCCATACTGGTATCGCACCTATGCTGGTCCTGACACGATAGGTGACCTCTGCCTGCAGAGGTTTAATTGGCTGTGATCGACGCAGTAGATCCTTCTCTTGTGTGCTCATTGTAGTAATATACTATTATATGATATTGCCTAGGCACGCGGATATAGCAGGCCAAATTGTAGTGTCGTTCTCCGCCTACTAAGTAGTGATTTGACGTGAGATCGTGGAGAGCATATATCGTGGGATCTTGGAGAGCTGAGCCGTATTCTTGATAATGGTGGTCTTATTGTCGCTTGGTCTCTTCGCAGTGTTCTCCGCATTTGCCTGCTGCGGTGGTTCTTCCTCTTGCTCAACTAAGTGCTCTCCGCAGTATTCTCCGTATTTACCTACTACGGTGGTCCCTCCTCTTGCTCAACTGAGTGCTCTGACTAAGTGGTTGACTAAGTAGATAATTAAGTGGATTAATGTGAGACTATAGAGAGTAGACCTGTTATATCACTGCTGCTGCTGACTATCTCCGCAAAATTCTCCATACTGCATTGCTCCTCCTCTTGTTAAGTAATTGGCTAAGTGACTGGCTGAGTGGCTGACTGAGTGGGTTGATGTGAGATCGTGGAGAGCAGGCCTGTTGTGTCACTGCTGCTGCTGACTGTCTCCGCAATTCTCTCCGTACTGCATTGCTCCTCCTCTTGTAGAATATCAGACTGAGTGACTGGCTGAGTAGCTGACTGAGTGGATTGTTGTAAGACCGTGGAGAGCAGGCCTGTTGTGTCACTGCTGCTGCTGACTGTCTCCGCAATGTTCTCCGCATTTGCCTGCTGCAGTGGTTCCTCCTCTTACTGAGTATCGGGCTGGTGTGAGATCGTGGAGAGTAGGTCTGTTGTATTACTGCTGCTGCTGACTGTCTCCGCAATATTCTCCGCATTTGTCTACTGTAGTAGTTTCTTCTCTTACTGAGTATCGGGCTGGTGTGAGATCGTGGAGAGCAGGTCTATTGTGTCACTGCTGCTGCTGACTATCTCCGCAATATTCTCCGTACTGTATTACTCCTTCTCTTGTAGATTATCAGAATAAGTGGCTGGCTGAGTGGCTGGCTGAATAGAGTGGTGAGCTGGCGGGGTAGATAGTGCTAACTAAGTAACTAGCTGAATAGCTCGTAGCCATTGTGTACTGTAAGAACGAGAGGTATGTATAATGATATCTAGATAGGTGGGTAGATTATTTCTTTATTTTTGCTATATCCAAATAAGTAGTTACGCTAACGCCGTATAGGGCAACTTTGTAATTAAATCATTATTTTATATTATAAAATAGTGATTTAATTTATAGGTGATCGACGAGACTAATAACTACTCTATATAATTAGCCTATTAAATTATTACCCTTTTCGTTTTGAATCATTCTTTTGAATCACATTGCTAAACCTGTCTACTGATGTCATGCTAGTAGAGAAGAAAAGGTCGTACTCGTATGTTAGGATCGGGCATCGTGCGACCAGACAATGTGTACATCTTGTCCGCCGCTGGTGGGTACGCTGGATTTCTTCCAAGCTTGACGGCGTTGTTGACCAATATAGTTGGACTTGCTCCAAACCTCCAATGCTCGAATTCCAACTTTAAGCACGATAAGCGCTGCCGCTGGGCTTTTCACTGAGGGAAGCTTCACCCCTGCCGAACCTTTTTTCACCCCTGCCGAGCTGTAACCCGTCAATCCAGATTAGGCTGGACACTTGAGACGAGGTTTAGAAGGTACAGTAACATTTGCACTGGGCAGATGCCGACCTGAGCAGAAATGGAGGACCATACCACGACTAGCTGCTTGTCTATTACGATGGCTTTCCACTTTCAGATCATGGGTCTTTCCACCGACCGCGTGGCGCTTTTTCCCTCACTCGCTATCGCTGGGCATAAGGACATCGTTCAGCGTTCCTCTTCACGTACTTGGCCGACGTATGCTTTTGTATACGCGCAAATGATTATTAACATGCTTCAATCCACTGTCCAATCTACTTTGCCCTCTGCTACCCTCACCCTGAGCTCCGCATCCACCAAAATGGCGGCCTCTTTGCCACACTTGACGGGCTCGTATGTTACGTCAAGAACATAGACCACCAACCCTTCCAAGCTCCTCTACGCCATGACTGACAAGACCTGCCCTCCGTCCTGAGTCTCCTTCGGTTGCTTTGGCCTGCCTCATTTGATTCTAGAATGCGTTGACTGAGAGGGTGACGTGAGGGGAAGGTGCAACCTGTCACAGATGAACGGTGAGACAGGCTTTACAGACTGACACCGGTTCCATTCAGGGCCATATTCTTGAAACTACAATTGAAACCTGCATTAGTCGTTCCGCTTTTTCTGCTCGCGAATTCCGGTATAAACATGATTTCAAGAAGAAGGTAATGAACTTACGGTGGAATCGAATGGAAGCCGAGGCAGAGTTTAAATCAGGAACGATTCTGATATCGAGGCAATGTAGCGACAACGGCTCAACGGCAAAGGCACTGCATCATTTAACTCAGAGCCCATCACACACGCAGCTATTCAATTGAGCCTCAACGGATCTTTTGAGAACGAGCTCTGAGCTTGGTCAAGGTTCATCAAACTTCCCCAAAGATTTTTAAGCCCAAGGTCATCTGACTGAAGGCTACGCTGTAAGTCCGATCATTTGGCCCTTCTTCACCTTTTCCAAACGCGTTGACGTTTGTAGATCACATGACCTGCAAACACTCATTCTGCCTAAGCTTGCTCGCCTCATCAAATGTATGCATTGGGCTACCAGTACGACATCAAGAACCTTGAGAAAGAGGCTTTGGAGAGGTTCGAACCGGCCATGAAGGGCAAAGAAGGAAAAGGCGACGAGTTCACAGCTGTACTCGGGGTCGTAAGTACCACATACGAGACTACTCCAGATAGTGATCGCGGCCTTCGCGATGTCGTCGTAGCCTTTGGGGCGAAGCACTTGGAGGATATAAAAGACCTGCTGGAGGGAGACAATCACGGCTCAGATTCCAAAGTACACGATTCAAGTAGCCAGCATGGCTGATAAGAACACTCTAGAAAAGAAGAAGGTTTACAGAAAGATCTGCCAGCGTGGGCGTTGCCCAAACATGGACAAGTGGAAGTATGACCGAGTTCGCTGCGAGTGCGGAAAGTACCAGCATTTGACACCAGACGAGATGGTGAATGCATCTTTATAGGCGGTTGAAAGTGTAAAGTGTTAGGATCTAGTGTGAGGTCTTGACATGCCCCCTGACACTTCAAGCTCATCTAAAGTCGACCAGATTTCACTTGCTCCTCAAGAAGATGTGCGAGATGCTTATCATTTGTGAACCAAACCCCCGCACAAACAGATATCGCAGCCGGCTAGACTCTGTGAGCTTCCCTGATAGCGGATATGGCCCGGCTTCCGACCATCGCAAGTCGCCACCCAAAGATAACGTACTACGCGATGGAACACTATGGCTTCCCGTCTCGCAGTCTCGTGCCATTGAACCAATTTCTTGGAAGATGGTCGGGCAAAACAGGATCTTGTCCATCTCACAATTCATCAAAGCGTGAAACCTTGAAAGTTGCCCCCGGGCTCTAAAGCCACAATGCGTAGGGTGTGGGCGCTTGTTTCGATCCTCCCACAATGCCTCAGCGCTCCAACCGCAAGAACGGTCTTGCTTGCGGTGTCGTTACCAGCCGCCAACAAGACTGTGAACCAACACATCGTTATTTCTGTGCTGTCATCCGATCCGGCATCAAACCCCTCACCGACGCTATCCTCATTTCCCAGCAACTCTATTGCTCTTCAATTGTCAAATGCAAACTACTCACTGTCTCTTCCCGGGAAGTCTACAGTCAGCCTCCACTTCCATGTTCCTGACACACTGATCAATTTGACGTTCACATTTCCTGGCCGCCCACTCAGCTTTATAACAGTGGTTGAGGCCGTGGAACTCGCCACCGATGGGATTGCGACGAATGTGGTTCTCCGTCCGACCGAGTTTATCACGCACGGCTTTTTCCGGCAGCGTCACGATGAGTTGGAGGTTAATATTCACCAGTATGGTGCAAAGCAAGTAACTTGGTCTTTGTTGGAGCAGCTTCTCTTGGGTATACAGTACTTCATGTCACAACTCGGGAGGCTGTGCGAAATGCGGTTTCAGATTGACGTTCAGAGTAAGGGCCGGGTAGGCCATGGATCGCTGTGGTATACAGGTCTTCAAAGCAATGATGTTGTAAAACGAGCTGTCAACGAGACTTCCGAGCAGCTACCGATGTTGAGCATCTCGAAGCCGGCGCTGACCAACTGGAATGGTTCCATGCTCTCACATATCCCGGACGAGAGAAGCATTGTCTTCTCGTACCATTTCTTCGGCCCAAACATTCCCGAATCCGCAATATCCATGTGCTTGAGACTCGCACGACAGAGCATACGTACTAACGTCCAACTTCATCCACACGATGGTCTCCCTGACGGCTTGTTCCAGTATCGTGCGTGCGGCAGCGATGTCTCAATCGGTATCAAGGCCTATGCCGACAACGCCATCTCTTGGCTCCTCCTGGACCAGATCCTCCATGACATCAGCCGCGATTTGATCGGTGCGCATCATCTGTTGGCGTGTGAGTTTGAATTCGAAATCTATCCCTTCGAGCGACCACACGGCCACGGGTCCTTGCAGTATGATCCCACAACCATCCTTCCTGCAATCCCGTCCCATATCGCCGCCTCTGCTGTCAAAAGGACTTTCCCTCAGCTTCGCTGCGCGAACGCCACCTTGAACAGCCCGCCGCACGCGACGACCTCCCTGCCGAACCCGACCCACACCTGGGCCGTCGTTCTCCCCGTCCCTGGCACCCCCATCACTCTCCTCGTCAACAGCCTCGGGAACCCCCTCCCCCTCTGGGACGTCGCCAGCACGCTCAGCGGCGCCCGTAACGAAGTCCTCAGCGCTCACGGCACTTACGCGAACCTTCCGATCAACAACGGCCGTTTCCAGTACAGTCACGCAGGCTCCAGCGTCTGGGTGCGGGTCGTCGCGAAATCCGAACAGGTAGTTACGTGGCAAGACTTGAACGATGTGTTGAAGGGGCTTTTTGAGTTTCTGTGCACGGGGAAGAAGGCGAGGAGTAGGTGGTTGCTGTTTGAGATTTTCAGGGATGGGAGGGGGATCGTGGGGGATGGATTGGTGTCTGGGCATAGGCCGGGAGTGGGTGTGAGTGATGCGCGATGAGGTGGTGGTGCTCTTACGGTCAAGAAGTAATCCAAAAACGTGTTTTCACCGTTTTGGATCTCGTGTAGGAATTCGGCAGGTCGCATGGTTGAGGAGAAGACATAATCATGGAGAGTTGAAACGGGATCGATCCTTGAAATATCGACAAGTTTACACGGACGAGCAGACTCTCCCACGGTGTAATGCTTAATTCTTATTCGTGAATGACCGTTTTCTGAAGAACGCAGCTCCAAATCGGTGTAAGGAGAATATAGGAACCTAATGCCTCAGGCTGTAACTTTTTGGGGGAGAAAAAGTAAAAAAATTCGGCATGGATTAGATGTCTGCTCACTAGTCAAACATTAGATACGCCTTGCTTCTCTCCACCACCGGTCTATGTGCGAATTAAGCAGAGTCTATACATGCTATAAAACAACTACGCTCATGCCATCATTTCTTAGTATCGATCTCACCATCTTCCTTGCTCGGCTTCTCGAATCGCTTTCTCAACGTCGTAATCATTCTCCCGAACCAATAGAAGTTCAAGACGCTCAGCGTCGTATTGCTGACGACATACGCCACCGCGAGCCAAGGCGGTACCGGCAAGCCCCCAGGCGTCTCAAAGGCAGTCCAGATGTCCTGATACATCCTAACGCTCTGATAGGTGCCCCAGACCAAGCGACTAGCCCCGAAAGTCGTGACGAGCGCGATCCCATTGACGAGCTGTGCCGTCGATCCAGTCATGCCGAGCTTATCCATGAACCAGTGAACGTTGAGAAAAGGCGTGGACAACTCATAGAGGATGAAGTTCAGGCCGTAATAGTTGCAAAACGGCCGCTGGGCGCCAGTCAGCCTCACCCCTCCTCGCTTTCCACCCTCCGACCAGTTTCAGCACTCACGAATCCCAACAACGACACCGCCAACGCGCTCCCCGCATGCATCAGCGCCCCCGGCCCGTGCACGTCCAGGTTCGCCGCGCTGGTCGCCACATCCCACAGGAAGTACCCGGCCGCGAACCCCTGGACCATACCGCTCGCGCCCGTGTAGCCCCAGACCCTCTCCCGGGGTCCCATCGCCCAGCGCTCCCGGTCGGAATAGATCACGGCCAGCGCGGCCGCGCTCACGCAGCATGACTGGAGGAGCGAAACGACGCGGGCGTTCCAGTTGACCCGGGTGCGCGGGTCGAGGCCGGGGTAGGTTTCGGGGCAGAGGCGGCGCGAGGCGAGGGGCGCGAGGTAGCCGTCCAGGAAGGCGTAGATGGTGAAGGCGGGGAGGATCTCGTGGGCGTGCAGGGGGAGGGTGCGGAGGGAGAGTGTCCGGGCTAAGGGGTTGGTGAATTGGATGAGGGAGCGGGGAGCCGGGATGGGGTCCCGCATCGTTGCGCCGGTGAGGGGGGTGTGGTCAAGGGATCATCGTCTGGATCTTCATGGTTGGAAAGGAGCTTCGACCGGCACTGTTTGAGATTCGATGCAAGCATCCGGGTGAGTGGGATCCTTTTGCGGTTCCCTGCATGCAACTGCTCGTCATTGACTTTAGATCAAGCGCTAAGATAACGCTGCTTCGGGGGATAAGATAAGGTAGCTTCTCCGTCCCTGCATGATTGCTTATCAGCTTATCCCCGACCTCGGGAACTTTCACCGCTTGCTCGGGCCGCATCTAATTATATTTATCCGAGAATAACGTTGCGACAACAAGTTTCACCCCGGCATTGTTAGCGAATACGCTGGCTTCGCAAACGGCAATTCCGAGAACAACGTGGGCCCATAAAGAACCGCTTTTGCCGTCGAGAAGGGGAGCTAATCCATATTCTATGGCACGTCAACTCCTGATTGACTGTTTGCTTGCGCAGTGTTTGCCGGTATTGAGAGGAGCAGGCCCATAAACATCGGCCGTCTCGCTCTTTCTTACCTTGAATGGACCTATACTTGAAGCGCCGGAGCGGACTTCACGTCCGTTCAAAGGCTAATAGTTCTTAAATGTGTCCATTCAAATCTTAGTATGAAGGGTTGAAGGGTTTTGGCGACAGTTTGGCTTAGAAATATACAGAAGGGCAGCTTTCGTCATGATCACCTGCCCACATTCACCATCTGCTTTTGGGGCCCCACGTACCGAGGCCTGAGGATCCGAAGATCCTATATCTAACCTTAAAGTTCGTTCGCGAAATCGCCACTGTTCGAGGAGGACAGTGATAGTGACAGTCACGTTAAGGAAACCGAGCCTGAGCTTAGGATACCCTTTGACGTCACCCAAAGAGCATTAAAGTAGCGAAATGCCAAAGGCTAGAAAGCCAAATGAGGAAAGCGACGACAAGAAGTACGAGAATGCGAAGCCGGTCGCTAAAGATGAGCAGGAGGACTTCTTCTGCGGCAAGAGCGAGAAGGCTAAGCGACAACGTCAGCGCAAGGAGAAGGACATACTCGACATCGATATTAAATACCTCGAGCCTCAAATTAGCCAATATAAAGGTGATCGCGGCGGTAGAGCACGCGGCCGTGGTGATCAAGAAGTTTTCAGAGGCAGGGATACAGGTCGTGGTGATGGGTTCAAAGACGGAACCGATAGTGGCTTCCGTAGCGGAGGGGCAGAGGTGATAGTGGCTCTGTCAACGTCATAGACGAATACGCTTTTTGAGCCAAATCCAGCAACTGCTTCCCCATTTGAAGACCCTAAAACCTCAAATGGGACTAGTGGCTTTCCTAAAGATTTGCTCAATTCAACGGTTACGGTGTGCCCAAAACCTCGAATGGGACTAGTGGCTTTCCTAAAGTTTTGAGTAATTCAACGGTCACGGCGTGCCCAAAACCTCGAATGGGACTAGTGGATTTCCTAAAGATTTGCGTAATTCAACGGTCACGGTGTGCCCAAAACCTCGAATGGGACTAGTGGCTTTCCTAAAGTTTTGCGTAATTCAATGATCACGGCGTGCCCAAAACCTCGAATGGGACTAGTGGCTTTCCTAAAGTTTTGCGTAATTCAATGATCACGGCGTGCCCAAAACCTCGAATGGGACTAGTGGATTTCCTAAAGTTTTGTTCGCTGATTCCACAATGATACAACTGAACACCGTATCCTCAATGCTTTGCAACGTCTACTAAAACAGCTTCCCGCCTTGGCGTGTCTCCATATCGAGCCGCGTACCGCCCGCGTACTCCCTGAATCCAGAGCCATCTATTGGAAATGTGTATGAAGGATTAATTGATTAACTATGGAATGGTATGTAGGCTACTTATATACCATGTGAAGCCCATGCTAATTTGCCACCTGATTGCCACCATGAGGGGTAGCTACAACACAGGTGCTGCAGCAAATCTCAACACCATCTCCGATTTCCGCTCCTCGCTTCGATCCCTGCTCGTCCACGTTCGCGATTCTGGCTCCACACTGCTGAAATACAATGCCGAGGACTTAGAACAGATACGCACAGAAGGCACTGGCTTTTGCGAGCTGTCCGTTGCACTGCCGCAAATGTACCTTTCTGAAAATTGTCCTCTATCCAGATGGGAGGCTTTCTTGGTTTGGCATTCTCGAAATCCATTGCATCAGTCTCCTACCTCTAGTAAACATTATCAGGACTCTACCAGAGAGCTGCAAAACCTGATCACGTTGAACATTCAGGACTGGCCAGACACGGTGAACGTCACGATCGGCGATCCGAATCAATGCTCATCTACGAGAGCCAGCTCCAACGAGTAGCTCAACTGAATTCTGGCGTGAGCGATGTCAAGTCCAAGACCAGAGGCTGAAGCCTTGGCCACCGCTCAATGCTAGCGGTAATCGCTTTTGGTGCCAACGGCGATTCATGGTACGGAGAACCGCATGATGATCAAGCTGAACCAGGCCATGTTTACACGCGGCGCGGTCTTGGGGAGGACGATGTTGCTGGCTGTAAAGACCTTCCGGAAGAACATAGAGTATGTCGAGTCTGGGTCGGACACTCGACTCAGTCGTTATATCAGGTTCCCCGAGCTCAATCGCCGGTCTTGAAGTAGTGGTTCTCCATGGAGCGCTCAAATTTGTGGGCCTTTCAGAGGTGCAGGAGAGATCTTGCCGGTCGCCATGACCTGTCTGGCGTTGAAGTAGAATGAACACCAGAATAATAAACCCATCAAGCGATCCTAGCACGACGCATCAAGAACCTGGGCTTCCAAGAATTGGCTGACCCACCAAGGCGACGTAGATTCTCGGGATTTATCTGAGCTCGCCCCGTCTCTTGCATTGTTAGGGCGGATCCAATTCTAGGTCCGTGGTCCGTGGCTCAGCTGACATGGCCCGGGCTCGATGCTCTAAATTGAATATCCAAATATAGTAGCGTGGTCCTTTCTGCCCGTGGGGATCCCAGCATTCGCATTCGCGAAAGCCAATAAAGTCTAGGGTTATCCGATCGCCATGACTACGAATCCTTGTCATGAATGTGTTAAGAGAAGCACAGTAGCGTCTTCGCATAATGGCCTTGTGCTTTGCCTTCCTACGCTGACATCACTTCATACCTGGTTATATCACATACATTAACACCTCGGCGGATCATGTCGAAGAGAGTCGTAAGGCGACACCGTAGGCTATCTTCTCCCTCAATATCTCAACGATTCTTTGCTTCATCTAGCTTTGGATAACAGCCCCTCCCTCTCGCATTCACGACCATTACTGTTAGTCTCTGTTTCTCTGACCCAAATCCTGGGTTTACGGTCTAAGCGTATCGTCACAAGCGGAGATGGCAGTAGTCACTCACAGAGATCGAGATGACCTGTATGATGAAGCCTTTGAAGATGTCCACACATTTTCCGGGACCCCATATCCTTGCACGCAGGACGAGCTAGATGTATCTGGTGGAGTAAACCGTCAAGAGCCCATAAGTACACTCACTATATTTGAAGCACTCCGCCGCAACGGTCCCATTGAGGAGCACTTGTATCCAGGCCTTCGCGATCTCTGGTTCGACCATCGCAACCTAGGGTGAATAGTTTTCGAAATGACTCCTTCGTGTTCCCGACCTCTGGCTTGTTCCGGGAACGAGGGAAGCTGTGACTTGAACGAAACGATGCTTACTCCTAGATCTTCACCAGGCCATTCATCAGCGCAAGAACAGCAGCCCGAGAAGTACACGACCACAACAACCTAAGCAGAGGGCCTCCAGGCGCTGAACGCCAAGCTATTGATCGCCTTGATGTCGCGATCGACGATGCTTATACGCATAAATGGGGTCCCGATCTTATCATCAAGGCTTTCTGTGACCTGGACACGGTCTTCTTCCGTGGGAGGCTTCGAGGCCATGTGTGCGTCGCCTGGAAGCCGGATCACCTGATGGGTCAATCAAAGTACGGCGTCACTGGCTATTTGGGCCATGGCAAGTGTACGATCAACCTGAACGCAGCGGAGATCCTCCGCTACCAGAGTAGCTCGAAGGCTTTCGAGAAGATGTGGTCGACGATGCTGCACGAGATGTGGTAAGTGATTGCCGAGACGAATATTCATGTATATTGCTGACGATACAAAGCCATGCCTACGCCCAAGTCCGAGTTAGGGAACATGAGTGGCGAGATGATGAACGTCTCCACGGGAAAAATTTCGGCACTAAGATCCATGCCGTGGCTAGGAGGGCGGACTACTTATTTGGTCTGTTCGTTGACATCAACCAATTCGGATCTGACGTTCCCTTTCCACGCTATGACTCTCCTTGAGGGGAGGGTCTTAAGCAGGAGGGACACCGGGTGAGCTATCTGTCTTTTCAGTCATACTGAGATGAAAGATTACAATTTTCTAGGGATAATGCATGTCTTCCTTCATATTGAACGTCATTAATTTCAATTCTCGATCACACAAACCTCTGTTACCCTGAAAACCGGACTGAAATCTGTACTGGTCGCGAAGAGGTTCTGGAGTGCTTGCATTTATTTATCCAAAATCTGGTACATTAGTCAAAAGCCATATGATATCTGTTGCATTTACGGAGAGCCTTGGAGAGCACGATGATGAAAAAGAGTTGGGGTAGTCCGAAAATTAGTCACAGACGATATTTAGTACTCTGACGGATGCAAATGTACTTACGCAACTCTGCCAGAACGAAGCGACACTTGGCGCTGATCTCTCTGAGATACAATCTGGCTCGATGTACACACACGAACTATCTACCAAATCCGCATGCTTGGGATAATGGCTCCTATGAAGAATCATTAAGCAGACAACGAGCTCCTAGCAACAGCTCTAATGCTGCCCAATAAGACAGTTTCCGCGCTGTCTTCATACAAGAGGAATGTAATCTAGAATCCGGAAGGCGATCGATCCATGGCCATACAATGGTTGAGGCTAGTGTGGTAAAAGTCCAGCTTCATCGTCTATCAACGCCACAGCTTACGGAGGTAATAGCTCTTGTAAGTGCTAGCTTTCCCGCTTGCCAACCGATTCCGAGGCTGCTGTTATACTGGGGTGTCTCTGGCTCATTTCTGGGCTTTTGGTGAGCGCGGAATAAGGGTATTCGCACTCTACGGACATATTGAAATGCATTGAGAAAGATTCTATCAGGTTGCTCTGCTGGGTGGATACGGGTTTCAATCTCGGGGCTTCATTTGCATTCCGGCTTTTGTCACATCCTAATCATCGATCGTGTTTGGATTCCATAGATTATATGAATCGTTAGTCTCCAGAGGAATCGGGTGGAGTACTAGAGAATCCAAACCTCAATTCCAGCTCATTCAAGGCTTACGACAAATATTGCGGGATCCCGCATCGAGCAATCCGCTAGTATATGTTCCCGGTCCCCTTCGTTCTTGGGGTTCACTTCTTGATACCATCAGCACAAAATCCTCTCACTTCAGAATATCATACCACCGCCCATCAACCCGCGACCAAGGAACTATCAGCCATGGCTCCTTTCTCGGACCCACAAATGCATCAGCCCATGGATCAGTACTGGAAACATGACCACGATCCACAATTCCTCTATCGAGGCAGCCAAGAGGATATCGTAAAAGAGCTGGAAGCATGGGTCGTCCACCGCAAGGAGGTTTACAAGGAGCGGTTGCAGCTGAGGAACCATTGCCAAAAGGCAACAAAGAGAAATGATGGGCTTTAAGACAAAAGCCCAGGATCCGGCGTTTATGAGCGCAGCCTTGAGCAGGAACACCCGCGTCACGGTAGGTAGACAGAACCAGTATCCCGGGCACGGTACCGACTCTGGCGTACAAATCCTTGACACCGAGGCCAACGAAGACTCCGCTCGCGCGGCCTACCTCCTCGCTACCCTCAAGTCCCGACGCATCACCTGGCCGGAACTCCGGTGACAGCCCGAGGTCGACGACGGCGTCTGCTCTTTCCTGGGCACCTTGGACGGAGCGACGCCACGCTCGCCGTCTTGGAAGCCCGAGAGAAGGAAGAGCGGCTTCGGGCGAACGCGGCGGAGATCTAATCATATATGAAATATATGATGAGGGCAAGTGGGACGCTGTTGAGGCGAAGCTCAATTTGGCAGACGCGTCGGTGAGGGGGAAGTTACGGCGATGGCTCAGGCGATGGTGGAAAAGGGCAATGAGGCTGGTGGAGGGCAGAGGCCCGCAGGGCGCGGCGGGCTACCGAGCGGCGAGCCGGGTGATGATCCTGGCGGTGATGATGGGCCTGGTGGGAAGCCTGCTGTCGTGAGGGGAGCCGAGGATGGATTTGAATTGGCGTTGGCCCAGGCTTTTGCGGGTGGCGGTTCGGATCATGGACGGGCTGAAGGTAGCAAGAGGAATATGTCTAGGCAGGAGAGGCGGGCAGAGGCTAGGAAGGAGGAAAGGGCCAAGGCGAATGATAGAACGTAGATGGGGGACTAGCGGTCCCATCATTCACATTGATGGAAGGTAGTGTTTGTCTACGCATGGGCATCTCTGAGCCTGTGGATGGGTGGTTGGCTTGGGACGAGATAGGATCCACGGGTCAAAGGTCTCAGCGTCTACCAGATGATCGAAGTTCGGAGGATATTCCTGGTACCCGAAAAGCATCATATAGACGCACAGGGTGCTGCTAGAATCCAGGAAACCCCTTACCCACGTCGGATCCCCGGCTTCCTGGCATGTGAGAGCAATTCGAGGCTGAATCTCTCCAGGAACGGATAGTAATAGCGTTCACCCTCAACACCTTGATTGGCGTACGGCAGGCACAGCCTACGCAAGAGGCTTCATAGCACGTCGATAATGATAGCAGCTCCCTAACCTTACGGATAGTAATAACGGTGCCGGAAAAGATGAACAGAGTTTTCTAGCCAACAACGGCATTCGTGAAACCCTTCCGAATTAGAAATGTCGTTCCAGTAAATACGTTCGCTTGGCGGAGATCCTAAGCTAAGTATCCAGGGCTCTGATGCAGATGTTGTCGATGGCTTTCGAGAAAAACAATTGATACAAGCGTACTTCCGAGTTCTCTCCAGTGAACAAAGCTCTGCTAGAGTATTACATGTAGAGTATTCAGAAAACGATCGTAGCTTCTGGAGACGTTGGTCGGCCGACTCGACCTTTGCAGCCGTGGGCGCCATCCCAGCCGCACCGTGGTACAGCGTTTTCAACAACGCCCCGCTCGCTCCAAAGATACCCTGCGTCAAGCCCATCAGTCCGGGTCAAGGCCTTATACCATATCGCATTCAGTCCCTGCCGGTCCCTTCCGTCGCCGTGTCGCGTCCCTGATTCTTTATTCCCGTGTCGCACATCTACTCCTGTCGGGGAGTGTTTTCAATCCACGGACCCTGTCTCCGACCACTGCCAGTATTGTGGGGGTTTGGATGAACAGATGCTCGAATCTCGCAGCAGGAAATCGATGCCGTTCAGAGCGCTACGGAGCGAGTTGGCATTGAGATACGGGCTCCAGCCACGCGCTTGGCTGGTCTGCAAGATTTGCTGTTACAAGATCGTGGAGGTTCTTTCGATGATCGGATCGTGAATGACGAAGGGCGCGTTGAAGTCGCCCGTGTCGTTCGGCGGTGCGGCACCCTCTTCCGGAATGTCACGGTCTAGGTGGTCGTGGCAGGAAACGGGGTTTCTTCGTTGTTGGCTGGGTTTGGCGCCGGGTTGAGGAGGAGCACAAGGGGAGAGAGGGGCTCGAGGGAAGTATTGTCGAGTGCGAGACTGGACTGGCTGATCTCGAGCACTCGATGTGGCTATGGAGATTTCCCGAAAATCGAGCAGTATGTTGCGGATTTGGATGGATTGAGGCTCTCGCTTATATTCTTTCTGTCAGTGGCGAAGCTGGACAGGACTAGGAAGCTGAAAAAGGTCAGAGATAGGTAGGCGATCGTGATAAATCTCTTCGATAAGCAAATTAATTCGACTTCCAATGATGCGGAATCCGGATAATGGGGAGGGAGTCAGGCCGAGACTTTGGCCCAGTGTGAAATTTTTGGAGGGTGTGTTTGGGGTTGGTTCACAGGCCTTTGAGCACAGAAAGGGGATTCTGTCTCTCTTGTAGCTGCTCAGGTTGAATTTCTTTCGAGTGGAACCGCGTTTTAGGGAAGTGAAGAACGGGAACTTTGCTAGGTGGTCTTCAATAAATAATAGAGGTATAGGCCTCGGGTTTAGTAGCGATCCGTGAAAAAAGACGAAGCGCAACTTGGTTCGTGTTCGACCGCAAGCACGAGCCCTTCAAGCAGCCGCGGCTTGAAAATATCACCCGTTGGCTATGATTGATTGTTTTTTTGAAATTGGACGCTACAGATGACAACGTACGAAGAAAATTTTTTTTAAAAAAAAAAAAGAAGATAATAAATCAAAGATTGCTAGATGAGTGAGAGCCACGCCGTTAATCAAAGTACCCACCTATGCAAAATCACCGAGCTCCTCAGCAGCATTACCTCCAGACGATAGACCTCCAGCAGGGCCATTTTCATCCATCTCCGCACCCCCAACGGTCGGCAAGGTATCAGTCAGAGACCTAAGAAGCTTGAATGATCTCAGCGTCTCTTCTTCCGCGACGACAACAATATCATAAAAGTCTACTGCTACCTCGTATTTCCTCTTTTTTCGCTCCTTGCGTATCTCCTTCTCGAGCTCCTCGACGGCCTCCTTCCCACTCGCGACCATTTCTCCGATCGATTGGATTTCCTGCTCGAGCTGTGATATGAGGTTCCCGTCTCTCGTTTTTGCGCCCTTCAGTTTGCCGAGTTTGATCGAGCGTGAGAGGGAGTCGTTGCTGAGGGCTCTCTGCGAGCGCTGTTAGTGGAGTTGCGAAGGGGACACCGCCGGGGGAAGGGTTGTCGGATGTGGAGATGATGAGGATTTACGATGTCTTGTTTCAGATACTGGAGGCGCTCATGCGTTTCGAGGTCTTGGTCTAATGTTTGGTATGGATGGTCAAATGCCGTGTCCTGGGATGAGTCCAGCCACTTTTTGATTGCCGGTGGTCCCGATTTACTGGAACTGGGGTCGTTGATCGATGGCATGGTTGTTTTCGTTCCTGGGATACTTAAGCACTGGTGGTGATTAGCTGAAGATTGCCTCTGTGATTCGGCAGTAGTCGAGAGAGCGAAAGATACTCCATGGGCTTTTTCAACTGTCGCTTCAGGCAATCAATCATGTTCCGATTCCGTGGCAATCATTCGGGTCGGCGTGGGTTGAGTTTCACTCCCGATAAAATTGGATAATGCGCTGTTACGAGTTTGACTGTGGAAAAGGCATCTAACCTGCTCGTATCATCTGCCAAGGATTTCCTGGTTCCTTGGAGCCACCCTTCAAGATCTTGTATCGTTTCCTCGTCTTTATCCTTATCTCCTGTTGACGAACGCGTCAATACTTCTATGCCTTTTTCGAGTTGTTGTATCGTGGCTTGATTTTTTCCCAGGATGCATTCATTAGGACTTCTTGAAGTTTCTCACGATGGTTCGTTTCAAGCCGTCCCACAAATGTTCCTGCTGGTTCGGTAGTTCTGCATCCTGATGCGATTGCTCGGCATTTTGGAATTGATTGGACGGCATGGTATCTGCTGTTATTGAGCCCTTCAGCGCCGTACTAATGATCCAAGGGCCCTTGAGAGACTGAGGAGAATGAAAGAGAGCGAGCACTTTCGAAGTTGGAATTTTTGGTGGCTTAGTAGGCAATCAATGCACGGGACACGCAGCCATCAATCTGGTTGAGCCATAGCTACGTGGACGTTGTTGAACCAATCACGGGAGGTTTCTTAAATCTGCCCAATGGGATCCTTACCTGTCTTTAAAATGTTGTAACAGCAAGCTTGAGTCGGATACTGATCCTCGACACATGCTTCTATCCGCAAGTGCTACTACCAGCAAAACCAGCTCTCCACACTCCGTCTCGAGCTCCGGTACGGATTTTCGTGACTTTCGCAGCGAATCAGAGATGGCGAATAAGTGCGGACAATGCTCTGTTGTATGGCATGATCTTTTGACTCGGCTCGTCGTCCCCTCGTGGAACACCTACAATCTGGCTCTTTAGGTTGAGGAGTTCAGGTGCTCGGAGTATGGCAGCATTAGCTGTAAGGATACTAAATTGCTCGTAGCTTGGTAGTTGGGGCTTTGGTAGCTCCGTCCCTCTCATGGTGTATTTTCAGAAAAACTGTTCGCGCGTAGCATGGAAAGTTCTCGCTTCGAAGTGGATTAGACAGACACTGAAGGATGTCGAGGTATGATCAAGAAACAGACCGCGAAAAGTGATTTGAGGATTCACAAATAGATGCCCTGATGAGAATGTGGCTATGCCTTTGTAGTGATATAGATGATAGTAGCTCCCCGCAGAATTCAGCGATACCGGATCCCGTCCATGGACATAGTAAGGCATAGGAGTTCAAGTTCGTGGGCGAAGGTAACTGTTCCTGTAGCAGCATAGGCGTATATATATGTTTGAGACTTATAACCATACTCATGCCGCTTTATGACCTTGAAAAAAGTCCAGATAGCCGTGTGCGCCGGGTTGTAAGCCCAAACTTGCCGGTGTTGGTGGCGCGAGCAAAATGAGGTCATGAGAAGAAACAATGACGAGTTCCCTAGAATATACAGCTTCAGGACTTTCCTCCATCATCCAGGGGATCGAGAAGACCAAATTTCAAATACGTCCTGTCGACTTCTGTACTGCGGGTCAATATCATTTTTCAACTTGGCTCAACCATGTTGTCCCAAGATTTTTCCAATAGTCTCTCCTTACACCTCCAAAGGCAGTCAGGCCTCCAATTCCCACAAGACTTAATCCAACAACACCCATTAGTATCCGACCTTGCCTGTGCACAGCCTTTTCAACTTCGCTGTATCGCTGGTTCTCGAAGCTAACTCTCGTATACTGCGTCCTCCATCCTAGACTTGGAAAATAAACATTCACGGTCTCTTCCATCCATTTCCTCATCTTGTAGAGCGGTGATTGGACGCCAGAGCGCATTTCTTCGTAGTTTCGGAGAGCAAGATCATTGATTGCTGCTGCGTCTGGAGCACGCTGAGAAGTATACTCGTCTAATGCTGCTTCACGTGCTTCATTTCGAGATCTATGATCGGATGTGCCAGCATCGTAGATGCCGTGCTTGTCCAGAATATCGAAGAGGACCCGGACGTCTTCGAGGCCAGCATTCATGCCCTGGCCATAGAACGGAACCATGGCATGGGCGGCATCCCCGAGAATGACAACGCTAGATTTGTAGTGATATGGCTTGCACTTGATGGATATTAAAGGTAGATGTGGGTTCTCACGAAACTGTTTTTGCAGGTCGGACGTGGATATCAGCTCGGGACAAACACCTGGGAAATTTTGGTGGAAGAATTTCACAAGCTTCTGCTCAGGGTTCTCGGATACGGAACTGAAGTGGCTAGCAGGAGCGAACAGAGTGCAGGTGAAGGATTTGTCGAGAGAGGGTATTGCAATGAACATGAAGGAGCCCCCGGGCCAAATGTGCAGGTGGTTGGGATCAATAGCGAAGGACGAATCTGGAGACCTTGGAGCGATATGGAACTCGCACCACAGCGTATCAATGTATTCTTGCTGGTAATCAAGTCGAGCGAACTTCATCATATGATAACGAGTGGCGGAATGAGCACCGTCTGCACCAATGATTAGGTCGAAGTTCACAGAGATCTCGGTTGCCCGCTTCTGGTCATCCCAGAGGGCATCATTTTGAGTAGGATTCTGCGCATGGTCAGTCTTTTTGGCATTATTGTGCTGTTCAAACCAAGCCGTCTTTCTATCAAAGTCAGCACCTGTCAGCTTATGGTTGAAGTGCAGCGTGACGTTAGGCAGCTTTTCCAAGGCCTCCAGAAGGCGCTTATTGAGACTCGCACGGTCTACTGCTTGTATATACTGAAAAGCTTTAGATGCATCTTTCATGCTGAATTAGAGTGCGGAGGACTTACTCTGCCATTTGCGTCGTAAGCTTGAGATTCTTGGAAAAGCTCGCCACCCTTTCTCCGCCCGTGTATCATACGCGCATGCATCGGTATGGTCTCTTTGAGAACCTCCTCAAGGAGTCCAACGGATTGTGACTGTCTCATGGAATTGATGCCGCGCTCTGATAGAGCCAGATTGATCGATTTTGTAAAGTTCAAGGGTGTCGTAGACGGATCACGCAAATCTAGATTGAGCTTCATTAGACGTGGTCTTCGTCATCGAACATACTGTGAGGGAAGCCCAGTATTACATGCTTACGAGATACCTTTGAAGAAAGATTGCGGCAGTCAAGTCTTCTTTTGATTGAGAGCTTCTTGTTGAAAGTCGACTTTCCGTTTGTGGTAGAACAAGGCACGATTCTCTTCAAGCAAAAGCAAAGGGATAAGTGAGAAATCCCGAGCGCCTATTGAACACGGGTATGCGGTTGGAAGGAAGGAAGTCTTACCAGCTCGAAGTTCGTATACATGCACATCGTCTCCCCTATTTGCCGCATAAAGGGCTGCGAGAGCACCAACAGGTCCTGCGCCGACCACAACAACCTTTTGCGCTTTATGTACTTCCGCCATAATCTCTACTGTAGGTATTGTATCCAGCGTCAGAAGAGTGTAGCAAACTTTGTCAGGGAAGGTATTTTCGCCTTCGCATCCATGATGATGACATGACGTTCTTGTGAGCCAAGCGCCAAGCTGCGTGTCCCAGTCTCGACCCCTACTACTCGTAAAGTAAGGTACCTTATCAGGCCTAGGATTGAGCGCCGCTTTACGCTCGCGCTAAATATGACAAATTTTATCTCGAGAGTACTCTACATGAAGGCTAAATTCTAATCCTGAACATCGAGAATTTGAAGAACCTCACACTCAGCTGCTTTGAGGTCGGTAGCAGGGTTTGAAGACCGCCTCAAAGGTCGGATCACAAGGCTCATCACAAGTCGACGTGGTTGCTCTTTATATCGGCCAGTCATGTACGTGTATATCATGGATGACTGACGTCTACATTAAACTTTCGCTGCAAAATATCAATCCATGGGCCCCTTCCTTCTTGAATCCTGACCTGATCTTGTAGACTATGACATTCTTTATATCAACGAACCCTCTTTCATCCTGAGCATGTTTCGCCGCATCATACCCACTTGGCAAGGAAGTCATACCCGGGCAGAACACACCTCTCCCACTCCTCCGTCCCGGGCTTCAAAAACAAATCAAAAAGATGCTGCTTCCCCTTCAGAGTCAGAATCCCACTCGGTACGCCCTGCGCCCGCAATGCGCCCTCACATTCCACACTCTGCGATACAGGTACCACGTCGTCTTCCGTCCCGTGCAAGATGAAAGTCGGCACGCGATAGTTGCCTGCGCGGATCTGAGCCAGAGGCGAAATCTCCGTTATCTGAGAGGGGCTGGGATGTGAGTCGGTGTCTTCGTCGTTCCTGTCACTGCTTGTAAAACCCTGGAGCAGGATCTGGGCCATTTTTCTGCTGTGGAAGGTCGCAAAGACGAGCTCGCTGCGTGGATCGCCGGAAACAAGGCCTCCGAGGCCGGCATCCTTGCTTGGGGGGATGTAGTATGATACCTGTATTCGTAGGTCTGTTAGCGCTCAATCTTATCTCGCAGACGGGTTGACTATGTGGGGTGGATATGATAGACCTCACCGGGTTTGCGAAAAGATGCGACTGGATGTCGGACATTGTCAAGGTCGGTAGTGGGTATCCGCCAGAGCGTGGTTCCTGCCATACTGTATGCATACATGAGTATGAGTTGAGGGAAAAGAGGTCATTGTCGAAGTGACATACCTTTTGCCTCGTAGTCAGACGGTCCGTAAAACGCCAAAATAGCATTCGGAGGCTCGATGCCTGCCGCCAGAGTGGTCCACGCCAGGGACATAGCCAGTGTCGCCCCCGTCGACCATCCCACCAACACGATTCTATATGGATCTACGAGCACGCCGGCTGATTTCGCTACTGTTGGCAACTCACTTCGAGCCCAGGCTATTGCGTCGCGGAGATCGGTCATGGCGCCGTCGACGAGGTTGATCTCCGGACAAAGCCGATAGTCCAGACTCACAGGGAGCATGCCGCGGTCTAGAAGGTGTCTCGTCTGCCATGGCCGGACTTCCTTCCTCGACAATGTCATGTGGCCGCCTCCGTGGATCATAAGAGCTAGAGATGGAAATTAGGGAGATTCTCTGACACGGGTTTGAAGGGTGGTCGCTGGTTTACCTATTGGTTTGGCATTGATCATTTCCCTTGACTGTGGATAGTAGATGTCTGCTAGAATTGAGAGAGCCCCGACTGTCTTATAGGGCACCGTCGACACTTCAAATTCTCGAGCGTTCTTGGCAACGATGTTGCGCCGATCAACTGAATGGTCACTTGGGCTAGGAACCTGCTGCGTAGGCCTCTCAGGATTATTATCAACGGAGGGTTCTGGATGCTGGTAGTTGATGCTTCGCAGCGGCCGGGAAGTTTTACATCCAAGAACAACAGTTTGCGTTCTGGCTTCGGTGCTAGAGCCTCCGGAGACTGCACGTCCATTGAACCCAGCGTGTTCCAAGCACTGGAGCCAGTATTCGGCGGGCTGGAGCGGATAATCCCTACCGTCTTTGAAGCACCACCAGCCTTCCAAGAGCCCAAAGACTATATCGTACCAATCGATCTTGCGTGTCACTTCTGACAAAGCCATGATGCCTTCATCTCGTAGGAGCGACTTGATCCGTGAACAAGTCTTGACGACATCCGATGTCGCATGTACCACGTTTGTTCCGAGTATGATATCATACTTTCCTTGGAGCGATGGCAACGGGTCTTCCTCTAAGTTCAGTGTTTGGAAATCTATCCAGGAGTGCATTGAAAATTTAAATTTTGCAGCTTTGACGAGTTTGGGCGAAATGTCCGTGAATGTGTAAGATATGTGACGATCAATAGCACCCAGCAGCTTCACGAATGCTGTTGTAGTGCCACCGAACCCTCCGCCAATTTCCAGGATACTAATTCCTCTGCCATTTCCCTCACTGGATATGATCTGGCTCAAAAATTCTACAAGCACGTCCGTTGAGCATGCCAACTGTGGCGAATGAGTGTAGTATTCACCGAGAATTTGTTGTGACTGTGCGCTGGCAAATAAGATTCTTGCCGCGTCCGCTTTACCAGTTAAGCATTCCGCCAGTCGACAGCCGGTGAGAGACATGAGCTTAAATTCCCCTGCATATGCCGGGAATGCACTCTCAAGTTCGTGGAGAATTGTCGCAGCTGGGGTTGACGAAATGACTTTAGCTGTCCTCACCACCGCCTTGTCCCTGAATGTAACAATGCGGAGTCGCTCGAGGATTTCCCACAGACGTTGAAGCAATTGATGATGTTTCGGTAATATCTGAATCGATGGCACATCCTCATCGGTTTTCATGGCCCATAAGTCCACTGCCAGGATTTTGAATGCTTCTGCGATGTAGGCAAGCATCAGATTATCTTGTCTGGGTGAGACGACATTCCAATAATCAGAAAAACTCCGTTCAGACGCAAAGCTATGGAAAGATAAAGAGCTCCTTGAGAGTATGGAGACAGGATCGTTCGCCTCAGACCTTGCATCTTTCCCGGTTGGCTGAGTATCTGGTGCCAGGGAGCTGGAGCTGTATCTATCCGGAGAAAACGCATTCCCGGACCCATGACCGCCATTGTCATACGATGTGGTTGAATTGGTAGAACCAGGGGTGAGTGGCTTTCTATCAGGATCCGCGCCAAGGAGTCTGCGAAGGTTTCCGTATGTCATTTCGGGCAGGTCAGACAAGTCGCTTTCCAGTTTGAACTCTGACTGGAGAGTATCTGCTAATTCAGCTGCTGCGAGAGAATCTAGGCCGAGTTCGCCCATAGCGACGTCTGCCGGTATGACTCCATCGGAGATCTCAAGGATCGAAGCGAGCAGGTCTTCTAGTTGCCCATCGATATGTGCAGGCTCGCCAGAGGTTGAGACTGGTTCGGATCCCGATGAGGCCATGGGCGTTTGGGACGGTACGATTTCGACCTTGGGCTTGACAGTATCCACGTCATGCCCTTTGTTTGCGGACTCGAGAAGTTTTTGGAGCCTCTTGAACGAGAGCTTCGCAAATTGAATGCCATTGATCGTTACTGCGAGTGTCTGATCTTTGGACAGGACGGCAACGTCTGCACAGGCTCGGGAATCATCGATTAGCGTGTATGAAGCGTAGATTGTCCAGGACCTACTATCTGCAAGGTTGGAGCCAGCAGAAACAAACATGTCCTTGACCCCTACGGCTAGGAAAGCCTCTTCGGCATCACAGTCATCGCTTGTATTGAGCATCAGACCGGCAACTTGGATGAAGTTGTCCAACGTGGCGGTATCACAAATCGACCTTGCGCTACTCGCCTGGTCGGAAACACTTAAAGGGACTTCCACCTCCGCCACAACTTCTCTTCCGGCAAGTGTGATTGATGTAATGCCCTTCAAGATGGTCCCGTAATTGACTATACGAGAGAACATACCGTATATTCGGTGACTCTTTAGAGTCTCGGTGCCGCTTGCCGCACGAATTGAATAGATACGGTCTTTCATCAGCCTCTCATAGTGATGTGTCTGCGCCCCTTTGTCGGTTCCCGGCTGCTTGAAGCCAAGGCGGCCTTTTCCATGAGATGTCGTTTTGCTTCTTTGGTCATTCTTCGGCGAACTGGTCACCGAGAATGTCCAATCCTGTTCCTTGCTTTGTTTTTCCAAGACAAGTATTGCGGCGCGTCCAGCATCGATTCCCAAGGGCGCGTCAATGGTTAAGTCTTTGAACCAAAGAGACTTCCCTTGCATGGACCCACTCGAGCTTTGCGCCGCCATAGTAGCGCATTCCATATACATTGATGCAGGGCAGAGAGGGTGCCGGAGGACTGCGTGGCCAGAAACTAAAGCCTGGTAATATTGGCACGCTGTGTTAATCATGAATTTGTCTTCGGAGTCACCAGGAGTCACCAACTCCACCGGTATACGGGTCGTCTGGCTTCCCAATCTCGTACTATCAATTACTGTTTGATTTTTCGAGATCTCCATAGCTCGATCGACGTAGGGAAGCCAATGTCTAGTTCGCTCGAACTGATACGGTGGAAGCCACATTTGCTCAAGAGAATTCTTATGAGGTGAATGGAAAGTCCAGTGGGTTGGCGAGAGACCTTGTCGCCATAATTGGATTGTGACTTCGGAAAGCTGCGACGTGCCATCCAGTCCAGCCCGAAGAGTCAAGGCTTGGAAATGGTGATCTGCCGGACTTGAAGTCGCACGCTTTACCATCTGAGTTATTGATGATCCGGCGCCAGCCTCAAGCCATACACAATGGCCGAGCTTCGCTTCCAGTCTTTGAATAGCCGAGAGAAAGAAAACTGGTTCTCTGGTCTGCTGGACGAGTCTGGGAGGAGAGATGGCATCTATGCCCTCTTTGGTACAGCTTTCGAGCAAAATCTCTGGTCGACGAAACGTCAAAGATCGAGCGACCACCATCAACTCTTCCAACAGACTATCGCAAAGCCGAGAATGAAAGCCGTAACTGACATCAAGCCTTTGGTATTTGGTGTCGCTGCTGATAGACGCCAAAACCCTGGCTATCGCTGCTTCAGAGCCCGAAACAACCTGGCTTGCTTGCGAATTGTAGCAAGCAATGTCCACAGGGCCCTCGTCAAGCGATACGGAATCGACCATACGTGTGACATCTCTAACGTTCGCATGAATGGCAACCATTGATCCGCATCCTGCTCCCCAGTGCTTTTTCATGAGTACCGCCCGAGAGGTAACAAACCTGAGGGCGTCTTCGAGTGACAAGACTCCAGATACGGCCATTGCCGTCAGCTCGCCGAAACTGTGCCCGACCACAGCGTCGACTTTGAGACCACATTCCATCCATGATTTGGCACATGCGTACTGTAATGCGAAGGTGCCGCTTTGAAGCACTATGACATCGGATACTGGATTTGCGTCAAACAGTGAAGGGAGAATACTTGGAAAGCCAAGACGAACTATCTCGCTATCGCATCGATGGACGATGGATCGAAAGATATGACAAGAGTCGAAGAGGCTTTTATCGCAGCCAATGTTCCTTCGACTTTGACCGGAAAATGCCAAGACAACCTTTTTGGACTCTGTTGGCGTCTCTGCAATGTCTTCCTCACTCAGATCCAGCGAGCGCATCAGGGCCTCCTTAGTCGAGGATGTAGAAGTCCAAAAGAAACGCTGCTTTCTGTGTCTTCTCTCCAATGATAACGCTATATCACCCATTGCCCAACGCTTTTCCCGGATTCCGAGAAAACCTTTCAAGATTTCTGCGTATCGTTGTACTCCTTGCTTACTTTGTGCTCCAATGATCAATGGAAACAGAGTATCTTTCGCGCACTGGGATGTGGATTGTTTGGTATTTTCCGGGGCTTGACATAGCACTAAGGCGGCGTTGCTGCCAGCTGCTCCATAGCTATTGACACACATGGTCCGAGAATGAGACTCCCATGCTTTCGCAGATGTGGGAATAGCCATTCGGTCTTTCGCCAAGTCCGCTATTTTGGGGTTCAAAACTCCAAAATTTGCCAAGGGAGGTAAGATGTTCTTGTTGAGCATCAGGATACCTTTTATCAAGCTGATGACGCCGGCTGCTGTTTCAAGGTGCCCAATATTAGCTTTGATTGAGCCGATCTCCACCGTACTGCTTCTTTGGCTGCTTCCAAATACCTGCCGAATACTATCGATCTCGAGTGGATCGCCGGCTTGAGTCCCCGTTCCGTGCGCTTCAATGTAGCTTATCTGAGAAGGCTGCATACCCGCCTGACGCAAAATTTCTTTGTAGAGTGCTACCTGAGATGGTGAGTGCGGTACCGTGATCGATGCGGAAAGACCGCCTTGGTTTGTGGCTATACCAGGAATAACTGCAAGAATTTTATCGCCATTCATCTGGGCCTGAGTGAGACGTTTGAGTACCACAACTCCTGCTCCTTCGCCACGGCAGTATCCGTCCGCTGCTTGACCAAATGGCTTGCATTGCCCTGTGGGACTCAGGAAGCCGGCTTTCCCCAGGTTCAGGAATTCGGTTGCTGTCGTCATAAGGTTGACCCCTCCTGCGATAGCCATGGAGCATTCTCCCGCTTGGAGAGATTTGCACGCTCTATTTACGGCAACCAAAGAAGACGAACATGCCGTATCTATGACCTCTGACGGTCCTGACCAACCGAAAAAATAGCTGAGTCTACCGCAAAGAAATGCTCGAATTGTGCCCGTGGAGGTATATGCGGAGGGAGGATGACTAGACGACTGCTCTTCGTAGTCTATGAAACTGGCTCCGATGTAAACACCGACGTTGTCGCCATCCTCTCGATGGTGCTTCCGGAGGTAGCCACTCGACTCGACGGCCTGAAAAGCTGTTTCCAGGAGCAAACGTTGCTGCGGGTCCAAAGCCAGGGCTTCACGAGAGCTCACAGAGAAGAAGGCGTGGTCAAAAGCATCAATGTCTGAAACAAAATTACCGTAGAATCTACGACCTTCAATCCACTTGGTATCTTGTGAGACACGATATCCGCCGTGTATGTCAATGCGCGTCTTAGGTACTTCCACCATTGTGGACCTGCCTGAGGATATGATATCCCAAAGCTCTTCGACATTATCAGCGTCAGGCGCGCGACATGCCATACCGACAACAGCTATAGCCTCGACTGATGGGGCCCGAGTGGGGTATTTGGCTGTTTCAGCTGGCAAGGGAGCGAGCGTAGGTATCTCCGCCAGTTCTTCACCCACGATCTTGATGATTTCCAATCCGGCGTCATGAAATGTGGTGAGTGGGACGCAGTCGGCGAGCCCAAAGACAGCGATTGTATGGGACCCTCGGCCAGTGTGCATGAGCTCTTGCGCTGCCGTAGTCATGATGTCGTGCCATTGACATGTAGAGGTGAGTATGGTATCTATCACTTGATCGGTCGCTGATCCTTCGGGCATCAATCGTCCGGATGCATTCGACCTCACTTTTGTTTGGATGCACGACGCATTTTCAAGCATCAATAATGGATTCTGGAGACAAAGACTCCGCAGCTTCGCAGCAAGATCAGTATTGTCTGGGTTGTGTACTTTGCCGCTTAGATGCACGGGCAGAGTCGTAAGCCCATGAAGTGTGATGTAGGCTTTTAGCGACGTGAGGGCGGATGCGGGGCTTATCACAGTGATTGTTTGCATATCGATTACAGCAGCAATACGGACCTGTGAGGGTGTTAGATACCGTGGACTCGTACGCTAGAAACAATCATCACTGACGCTGGGACAGTAATCAACGATCTCTTGCGCTTGGCTCCTGACTTTGAGACGCACGACCAGGGTGGTTTGCTCATTTGATTCTCCAACAACACCTAGATCACTGTAGATGCCAATGCCCACCGCGAGGCGAACAGCATTGCAAAATTTATGTGCCAGGTCTTCTTCACTTAAGGAGCCTGAAGCAATTACTGCCATCAAAAAGCCGGTGCAAAATCCTTGGAATCCAGCGCCGTTGGCCGTCGCTCGAATAAGATCCTCGTGGTTGATTGAATGTTTCCTGAGTAGCTGGAAATACTGGGCGATTTGAACAATGGCAAGCAATGGAAGTGCCACTATGCCAGACGTTGAGTTGGATAGCAAGGATGTTTCGCCCGTCGCGATCCAATCTGACAGTGCTTGTAAACCCTCGAGTCCAGGATCCAACTCCAAGACGCGAGGATCATTGGCGGAAAAGAAAGGCCAGAGCTTGGGAAGATCACTGACGGCGTCGACCACAGGGCGCAGCGCCGCATCTTGACGGATGAAGGAACGAATTTTTCCAAGCGCCTGATCTCTGGGCTTCTTGCTTTGAGGGCCAAAGACCACGAGTGATGGCAAAAGCGCCATTCTGGAAGGAATGATAGAGTTGGGGATAGACTAACCGCTCTATGGCTTCGACAATTCTGCTGGTAAGAGTGATCACAAGAGCCTTGGAGGCTGAGCACCAGGCAGATCTACCCATCTTTATTTGATCTCCCAGCTCGAGGCAGTCGCCCCTTGGGAGGGCCGACGAAGGCATTAGCTCCGAGAGGATTAGGGTCTGAGAGGGTTAGGATTAAATTCACGCAGAGCCCGCCCCAGAGTACTGTGGATCACCGCATATGCTCGGGTTTGAACCCAGTCGAGTCGCTTATGCTCAGGATGTGATGACTTCCCGAAAACTCTTCCCCCCCTTGGCGAGCTAGGAGCCCAAACTTCCACCAGACTGTTCGTACGAGGTGATGTCACGACAATTATCCTCACTCTTTTGTTGCGATGTGCGCCGGATAGTTTGCTCGACTAATGACTTGTTCATTATGGCTTTCTATATTCATGCAGGTCTTCTCTCCTACATAAGCTTCATCTCTACACTCAAAAGTGTTTGAATTCTTATTCCATTGCATAAAACGAATGAAAGAGAGTCCATCGGCAACTCTTCAAGAGTGCATGCAGATGAGGGAAGATGCTTCGTAAGATGAACATTTGGCGAGATAATTTCTGCGAGTCGACGTCACGGAAATTAGGAAAATAGAAAGATGTATGGGGGATGACTTGATGTTGCGATAGATGATTTGCTCGACTAACAAAGTAGTAGTTGCATCATTGTCTGATTGCATATTTTAGCGGTGTCTTTATTGCCTTACTTGTCGTTCTTTTAACTTTTATATCGGCAAGCGTGGAGCTAGTCTAAGGAATCAAGCCCTAAGGTACAGATACTTACTCGGAAAGTCCTCCACGTGCCGAACAAAGATTCCGGAGAAATTAAGGTACTTAGACAATACGCTTGCTTAGAGCTGCTTAAGATCTAAGTATACATTATCTGACGGGGCAAATTAGAAAAACATACCCCAAACTATGGGATTCTTACAAATTCATACAGGTACTAGTACCCCATTCTTTTGGTGAGGGGTATGAAAATGTAAGATGGGGTATGAATTTGTAAGTATCCCATAATTTGGGGTATGACTTCCAACAAAGATTCTTGACTGTACCTTAGTCTATTCTAGTTCAGCTACAGGGCCACCGTTTCGAAAGTACCCTAGGGTTAGGGCGGTTACTAGCGCTGTGCAGGACTTTCGGTACCGACCTCTGTGAGATAGCTTACTTTACTTCAGGTACTAAGGTACTGTCGCTCCTTTCTTCCATAGCTAGAAACTGATCATCTTTACACATACCACAAGACAGAATCCTTCTTATACTGGGTGTGAAACTTTTGTCTTATTACCTACCTGACGGACTTACATTTCGACACTCGGCCATTCTTAGTCTCGGTATAGCCCCACCAATAATGCGACTCCAGCACTCGTGTGGGGCTGCAAAGCTCCATGCATGATACTATACCTCCGTCTTGAGCAGCCAACGCTACCACGGTACGGCCTTACGCGCATTCGGCCGATGCTGACACCGTGCATATGCATTTGCCATACCCTCTTCCGACCAAAATTTGGGACCGAGGGGGACCGTGATGCCCATCGCCCACATTGAAAAGCATTTCCTCTGCCCTCGTGTCTGCCACTGAACTTCGGCTCTACATCCCTCATTTCGCTGACACCATCTTTACCATGACCTTGCGTTCCTGGCTTGGCCTTGCGCTGATCGTCACGGTGGGAATTAGATTCCTATCTTTTCGTTACATCTATGGCCTTCGACGCTTCAAAGGCCCTCTGTTGGCCTCCTTCACCGATGCTTGGAGATTCGTCTACCACTGCCGAAACACAGGAATACCGTTTAGAGACCTGCACGACCGCTTTGGAGATGTCGTGCGAGTAGGCCCAAATGTGCTCTCGTTTCGAGATCCGCAAGCCATTCGCGATATCTTCGGAGCCGGGAAGAATTGGGACAAGGTACGTACCATCCAAGTACGGTCATTGAGGGGAGTGCCGACCGAGATTCTAATGAACGTCTTGCCTTTGAAGTCTGATGTATACTTTGTCAACGCGGCTGTCTCCATGGGCGAATATGCACACACCTTGTTCTCAAGTACCGACCCGAATTGGCACAAGAACGTTAGAAGAGCCATGAACCCTTTCTTTACTCAAACCACCGTATTGACATATGAACCTTTCGTGGAGAGGACCATTGAAGTCTTTATGGCTGAAATGGATAATCGCTTTGTGAACAGATACGGTACCGGGAACGTTATTGACTTCCCTACCTGGCTATACTATTTCACATTCGATGTCATGAGCGATTTGACTTACAGCAAGCCCCATGGTTTTATAACACACGGTGAAGATATGCACGGAATAATTGGCTGGGTGATGAGCTTCGTCAACTACAGCTTCATTGTAAGTTCATCCCGTGTCCTTGAACTTTTTCTCCTCACCAAACTCTCAAACTTATCCCTACAGGTGGGTCAAATGCCCTGGGTGGATATGCTCCTCAGGCATAACCTTATCCTAATGTGGCTGGAAAGACGGGGATGGTACGCCGGCAACACCTTTCCCGGCGCCACTTTTGCAATTCAGCGCATTCGGGAGAGGGAGCAAGAGAAGCTCACCGGGAATGGTACCGACAAACGAGAAGATCTGCTCGATAAGTTTCGACGAGCGAAACAGGAACGCCCGGAGCACATCACCGACAAAGCGGTGTTGGGTCTTAGTCTGTCGACAATGTTGGCTGGTGCCGAGACAAGGTCAGGACCCTCATCCCTTTCTCCATCCGAAAACCACCTTTACTCATATTTGGCTTCCGAGTACAGCGCGATCTCTTTGACCGCAATTTTCTATTATGTGCTACGCACCCCCGGCTGCTATTCTAAGCTCCGAGAAGAGCTGGACAAACATCTCCAACCCGCATCCTCGGCCACCAACTCAACATACTTCCAGACCCCTTTCTCCGAAGCCCGCGAGCTGCCCTATCTCCACGCTTGCATTCAAGAAGCATTCCGCATGCATCCTGCTTTCGGGATGATGCCCGAACGTATCGTGCCACCGTCGGGAGCCACCATCTGCGGGAACTTCATTCCCGGCGGTACCCTTGTGGGATGCAATGGCTGGGTTGTGCAGCGTCATGAGAACACGTTTGGAGAAGATTTTGATACCTACCGCCCAGAGCGCTGGCTCGCAGATGCGGAGAGAACGCGCGGGATGGAGCGAGCCATGTTCCAGTTTGGCGCGGGAACTCATGTGTGTTTGGGCCAGCATATTGCTTTGATGGAAATTTACAAGCTTGTGCCATCGCTGATGAGGACATACGAGGTACCTTCCCCATTACTCTATGACAATTTACCGAGGAGAGAATTCCGCACCACTGACTACATGATAGATTTCTCTTGTTGACCCCGAGAAAGAATGGACGATCATCACCGGTGGAAACATGAGGCAGAGGGACTTCAATGTTCGTATGAAGAGAAGAAGCGACCTGTGAAAGACTCGGGACGCATAGATTGGCCCAGCGATCTCATGAGTTGAACCGCTTGGCCGCAACACGCTCGCTGTCTTGTGGAAGCTTGACTAGTTTCTTTTGTTTGATATGCTGTGCTCGTAAATGGTTGGAGCTGGTATCAACGAAAATCCCCTTGTTCAAAGATTAGAAACAAAATCACGATCGACAATCGGGGGGTGGGGGAAACATGACAAAATTAAATGTCAATTCTCACGTCCTCAACGTATTAGCCGTCTGTTCAAGCGGAGATCTCATCTAGCGCGACTGTTGACGTAACGTTACTCTAGAGCAACACCTAGGCAACCTTTCCGCGGTTCTACACTCGACCCACGGGCTATTCTAACCGCAGCCCCATTGGAAACACCATCCTTCATCCAGCTCGATTTGGTCAACCACTCTATCGGACTGGTAGTACTCTACGACAATCAGAGATCCGGACTTCGAGTGCTTGGCTCGCGACCTACGCGGGGCCGTAAGATCAACATCCACGACGACCGAGAAACGATCCACCGCACTCTGCACAGCTGCCAGGGGCCGCGCCGTTGTCCCGTGGATGACCCGGGGTCTCCGGAGGACGTGGTCCTTCCGCTGGCCAAGTGGGTCTGAGCTCCAGCAAGCTAAACAAGCTGCAGAGTAGAAAGGCCGGTTATCCAATCCGATGTAGCCTCTCGCTCCGAATGAAGATCGGAATCGAGGCCTTTGGTGGTGACAAAGCAACGACCATGGATGAGGTATTCGGCAGAGTCGGCGCAGAGGCTCTTCCGGTTGGTTCGTTCTCCCGACCGATACCGAGTGTAGGACTGCAGTGCATGGTTTTAGGCAATAGGTACGGTCGCTGGGCGGATTCGGCGTATGCGAAAACCTTCGGGATCGCTTGACGCCAAGAATCGGTTTCACACACCCAGAAATTGTACCGTAGCATGGAAATTCTTCCAATCCCATTCCATGTAAGCTTTCTTGCCGAGTCCAGACCCGGGGCCGGATTTTGGGTGCGGGGACTACGGAGCGTAACCCGGTTTGGGGCCTTTGTGATCCCGTCGTGAGCTCGGAGAATTCGGGTGAGGCTGCGTCGTTAGTCGCTGTACCAGGCCCGGTTTGGAAGGCGTTGTCCGGGTTGTGGGGCACCGTCTTTGGCTGGGATCATGGACCTGGCGCACGATCGGTTGCTGCTTCCGTAGGCTTGGCAGCGGATAGAGGTAGGCGTGCGTGAATATTTGAGTGCCTGGCCGCTGATGGATTGAGAGCAGACTTCCGGACACCTTCTTGGTCTCGTGGGATGCAATGTTTTCGGAAACAGTACCCCTCCACGCCACATATCCTGCCTCAATTCGCTGCATCTCTGGTGGCAATCGATTTACAATGCGTGAACTTGCCGTCTTGGCCGCAGTGACGAGGTCTGCTTCAGCGGTCTCCTATCTGGCGTGACGATTGACGGGTTCCACCATCACCCCTCCTCCAGCCGTTCGCCGAAGATTAGTAATAGTCTATCCATATGCACGACTCGCACTTCCCGCGCCTTGCATGTTGGACGCACCTACATCAGCACAACAAGAGCTGCGCAGCCCAACAAAGCCGAATCGCAGAAGGTAATAAGGTAGTTTCATGCCGAGAGAGGTATTCTTGGGCAAAAAAAAGAGGCGAGAGAAAGACCCCGGGCCGTTGATTTCAATGGATCCACGTATCTCAAGGAGTCGTGAGCTCTATTTTGTGATTAGAGGCCCAGCTTAACTTTACATATCCTCCAATCCCAATTTTGCTCTATGAACGTTCAAGAACCAACACCTGAGGCCCATGCAAGATGAAGATCCTGTGTTTGCATAGTATGGAGACAGATGCACAGGTAGTTGATCCTCTTTGAGATGAAGTAAAGGCGATGGTCTGTAGACTAAATGTACTGTGGATACTCGAAGCTTGGATAAGAAGAACTACCCTCAGAGCTCTTCATAGTCCTTCGACTTTGGCTCAGCAATGAATGAAGCGCGACTTCAAGAGAGTATGGGAAAAGAGTAGGAGCTTATTTTTGTGGATGGAGACGCAGATTGCAAGCAAGCGGAACGTAGGCTACTTCTCCAAGCCATACCCAGGATCATTGCTTGGCAAGGCAGTAACGAGATACGATTATTGACACTCGTTAGGTACTGTTCACGAGTGGTCTAGGGAAAATGGCGAAGAGGGGTGGCAGGAACCTGCAAAAGGCCAGATGGTAAGGACTCTGGGTGTCGTAAGTGAGTGTTGAACACTCGAACCCTCGAACTGGCCCGTACGCGCGCGCCGAGGTTTTCGAAGAGACTTTAAAGTTCTCCAGAGTAATCGAGATCGAGGATCCAACGACATACGACTCTGTCAGTCTGGCTTTCGAGGAGAGTATCGTAGGGTAGGAGAGTATCGCAGGGTAAGAGACTATTGTGGAATAGAAGACTATCGTAGGGTAACGCTAAAACGTGCGAGTTCTGATTGAGGAGGGCACATCTCTGAAGGACAGAGCGGCTAATAGGTCGATGCCAGGCACTTTCAGCCCTACAGTTCTTGGCGCTTATGCTCACTTTCGCAGCGCGCGCTCCAGAGACTAAAGTAGCTTCCGCTCTTCCTCTACCACTTCACCGTTATTTGTCGTCAACCCTCCAGAGAGCGAGTTTGGGTACATCATCTTTAAAATTGTACTCGACGCTAAGAGGACCTATGGGGAGTCTCCGAGGAGCTTGTAACAGCCTGAGGATAAAGCAACTCGATTACCCCCACCTTCAACTCCACAGCAATTACCAATCTGACTGGCATCCATCATGGCAGAGGTTGTGACTGGGGCGAAGAACTGCATAGGCGTAGGCTGTCCAAAAGACGCCGGTGCCTTGCAGTGTCCGACATGTCTAAAACTTGGAAAAGAGAGCTCGTTCTGTTCACAAGACTGCTTCAAAAGGAGTTGGGTAGGCTACCTTGTACCCTCGTAAGGTACACATGGCCAACATCATGCGGTCCAGTAGCTGACCGTCTCTTAGTCAGAGCACAAGTCTGTCCACAAATCTGGCTGTACGTACCGTGATCGGTCTTTCTGAGCTTCAACTGATCGCAACGCAGCAATCGCTCTCCACAACCCTTTTCCAACCTTCCCCTACACCGGACCCCTGAGACCTATATACCCGCTATCGGATAGAAGAACCGTTCCAGAATCGATACCACATCCAAATTATGCTAAGACTGAGGGTGGCAACCCCAACTACAAGTTCGCGGCGAGGAATAGTATCACTTGTCTGGACAAAAAGCAGCAGGCAGGTATGCGGAAGGTCTGCCGCATGGCCAGGGAAGTCCTCGATGTAGCTGCAAGAGAACTCAAGCCTGGTGTCACAACGGACTACATCGACGAGGTGGTGCACAAAGAGTGTATTAAAAGAGACGTAAGTCCTGATCCCTAGAGCCCAAACTGATGAGATTGCTCATTTAGCTGCCAGTCATATCCGTCACCCTTGAACTACTCGGGCTTCCCCAAGTCCGTGTGCACCTCAGTCAACGAAGTCATATGTCACGGCATACCAGACCAGCGCATGATTCGGGAAGGTGACATAATCAATCTTGACGTGACTCTCTACCACGGCGGCTTTCATGGTGATCTAAATGAGACATACTATATTGGCGAGAAAGCTCTCAAGGACCGAGAATCAGTCCGCGTGGTGGAGACAGCCCGGGAGTGCCTGGAAGAAGCAATTAAACTCGTCAAGCCGGGCATGGCCTTCAAGGATCCAGGCACAGTCATCGAGAAACATGCCAAGTCAAAAGGCTGCGGCGTCATTCGGACATACTGCGGCCACGGTATTAATTCACTTTTCCACTGCGCCCCCAACATACCTCATTATGACAAGAACAAAGCTGTGGGAATCGCGAAACCAGGAATGACCTTCACGATTGAGCCGATGATCAGTCTGGGTTCTTTCAGAGATAAGACGTGGCCCGATGACTGGACGAGTGTTACTTTGGATGGTTCGAGGACAGCTCAATTTGAGCACACTTTGCTAGTCACAGAGGATGGCGTTGAGGTTTTGACGGCTAGGCTTGCAGATTCACCAGGGGGACCGGTTGAGATGCCGCCAGAGTTGAAGGCAGACGGTGACGGTGCGGCAAATGGAGCGAGTGATAAAGTAGTCAGTTGAAAAAGGAGAAATGAAAGGTCTATGATCATCGTGATAAAATTCTGGAACGGATGGCTCACTCGTCCGTTGACGGAAAAGTCTCATGGGGTATTTACTTCGCAAGCGCTAAGCTTCAGTCTAGCATTTCCGCCCTTGAACATTCTGGAAGGCTAGAGACTTCAGCGTTGCATGGCTACTTGGAACAATCTCTCATAGGAGTCAGCCTGAACGCTTTACATCTTTACATTCCGCATTTTTGAGGCTTCAAGGCCCACGGGGAGAAACTCTCAACAAGGGATCCAGGCTTCGTTGCGGGAAGATGTGTCTACACTGAACAACGATCTGGCGATGAGGTCATACTAAACCTACTCCGTCCTTTACGCTCCTCGCTGTCTGTCTCCTGTCATGTCTTAACTGTAGTCTTACCGCGTCCACATCACAGAACTTCGGTAATTTTCTCCGCGTGGAACGGAACAGCAGCCGTTTTGATTGGATGCCCAGATTCTGTATATGTTAGACTGTCATAACTTCGCATGTACAGCTGATTAGCCGCCGTTTGCTGGGTCGCACCATCAGGGCGTGGAGATGGGTTGATTTGCGGTACATTCAATCGTTCATCCCCTGGATGCACCATTTCTCCGTCTCAGAGCACGGTATGGTGTTCCAGCTCTGTTTTCACTTTTAGGCTCTAGCTTCAGTTTGAATATATTAAATCCATTCCTCAATTTACAGCTGCACGGAAGGTATTAACGAGGGAGCAGCTACTCCGGGACTAAGGTAGTGCCGGATCCCGCATCGACCCGCACCGATCCGCGCCGTTAGAACGGATGTCGGCGTCGAAAATCAGAAACAGCGCCAAGGCCGTGAATCACGCCTCGTCGAAAACCTAAAGCGCCTAAATCTGGGCTCGAATGCCCCTAAAGCTCAGTACTTTAAGGTCGGCAGGGGGTTTTTACTAATCCTCCCCGGATAGTCTTGGCAAATTTGTAGGCGGAGAATATTTCGACTCGTATTGACAAGGCATACAGAGGTCTGCACCGAAAGTCCTGCACATGCGCTAGTGCAGCCCTAACCTTACTTTCGGAAAGCGGCCCTGTAGAGGGGAAGTCTAGAAATATCTTCTCACAGCGCATGGATGGGACTTTAGGTACTTCTTTTGGCTTGATAGGGGTATTAAGCCCCGAAACCTGGCTAGGGCTAGGTGCGATTCCGAAGAACTCCAGACGCATTGTCCAGGTAGCCCTTTAGGTGGGGCGTTATCCGAAGTCTGAGCGCAAGAGTCTTGGCGGGTGCAGGACTTTCGGTGCAGACCTCTGTAGGGTATAAGTAGCTATAGTGTAAAATAAAATCGTATTTTACAGAGATCCTAGGAGTATTTTTAAACCTTAGGAGATTCTTCGCCCAGGAGATCCCTTAAATCAGGAGATCTTCTCAGTCCTACCACTAATGACTAAGCTGTAATTTACATTTTGGCGTAATATTATCATCTCATCCCACCCCATCTCATCACACCCCATGCCATCACACCCCATGCCATCACATCCCACCACCCCCCGTAAGACCTCGAGAATATCACCCCCACGAGAACTTTGGCTAAATCGCTTGAATCTGAAGTCAGAAATTAAAAAGCGTGAATGTAATTTACAGTAGCCTTGGCACTCGTATTTCCGGAAATAATTATAGAAGACTCGCTTTCTCAGGAGACTCCCGGGAGGAGTTTTAAGCTACGATATCATGAGATTGAAAAATAATTGATATGAGAAGATTGTTCAAGAGGATTTCAGGGTAGATACATTAAATCTTATAATAAATCTTTATTTATAAATGATACTTATGGTATTCTTGTTACATAACTAGCCTACATAGACCATTACGAAAAACCCCCTGCCGACCTTAATGTAACAAGCCCGAAATGAGTCCTAAAAAGCGCAACCGCAAGCGCACAGGAGCACATGGTGTGCCAAGACATCAGCCTTGGACACCTGGGCACTCACCTCCGTCTGTTGCCATTACTTTCTTACGAGCTCTCGGAGGTAGAGAGTCTTAAGATAAGAGCAGGTCCGATGACGCAACCAGGCGCTATGGGTTGGGCGCACTAGGTCTACTCAAGAAGCTCGCCGGGTTGATTGATGTAATGTTACAGGACTGAGGGGTAAAGTACTCAGGTACTCAAGCAGCACGCGGCTCCTTTGGTAACATCTTTAAATCGATTTTGACTGTGAACTGTTTGCGCAGTGTGCGCGGTGATACTATTAGTATCATCATCATCATCATCATCATGTTCCTCTGCGACACGGTTGATGAAAAAGCAAACCCATGCTGGGAGATGCGGAAAGAAGTGTGTCGAAGCTGAGGAACTCAGGACCATGAATAGAAACGCGATGGCAATTGCAAGTGTAAGCGTCATTGTACGTTGTTTTGCTGTTTTGCAAGTCTGATGATACCAGCGTTGTGATAGGCCGAAGATCTACTAGGGATGTGATGTGACGCAACGGTACACTAGTGGGGAGCTGCGACGAGAACCCGCCCTTGATGGGTTGGATTATCTTCCAGATAAGTATGCTGCGAGAGAACATACCCAGATTGGGTGATAGGCCCATATTGAAGAGCTCAGAGCTCTTACCATAAAGATAGCTTCTCATCCTGCTCCTCTTTCACTCCGACGTAACTTGTTTACCCCCAACTGACATCGACCAAAGACCAACGACCGAAGCGTCCCAAAAAGATGGGTATGTATTCCTTATCTGCCCCGTAGTTTGCCAGTGCACAGCTGAGCAGCTGGCAGCCCCGAACAACAATATCTTCGCCGATATCGTGGCTACACAGCCTCCCAAAGATGTTGTGGAGCCCCATGGCAGTAATCCTTTTGCGCTGAACGATGGTGCTGCCTGTCAGCCGGAGAAACGTCTTAGTGTCGACGAGGAGAAGATTCTAGAGGGCATGAGGCCTTGCATTGCCGACCAACAGGAATACCCTCCACCGACCGACGAGGAACGAAACACACTGCGTAAGGTTGCAGACTCTATTCCAGCCGTTTCGTACTGGTTATGTGCGGCTCAGTTTGCAGAGCGGGCTTCATACTACGGTGTCCAGACTGTCTTCTCTAACTTCATCGAGTTCCCATTGCCTAAAGGTAAGAAGTAAACCCGATCTCATGCAAGTGAAACTTTGGAGCTTATCAACTATATTAGGCGGCAATGGTGCCGGGGCTCCTCCACCAGGCACACAAGAGACTGCTGGAGCTCTTGGTCAAGGGGAACAGTTCGCTAACGCCTTTGTGCTGCTCTTCTACTTTCTCTCTTTCTCTATCCCCGTCTATGGAGCGTACGTTGCCGACGTTCAGCTGGGTCGCTACAAGACCATCATGATTGGTGTACTTATTTGCGGTGTTGCTCATGTCATCATGATCGGTGGAGCCGCTCCCAGCGTGCTTCAAGCTGGCAAGGGCATGGCTCCGTTCCTGATCAGTTTTTTCATGCTTGCATTTGGCGTTGGTAGGTGACAGCTGATCGGTACTTGTAGCGTCGCTGACAGTCCCCCCAGGCATGTTCCAGCCTAACATCGCGCCGACAATACTCGACCAATATGTGCATCAGCAGGAATATACCAAAGTGCTTAAGAGCGGAGAAAAGGTCATCATGGACCCTGAGGCTACTGTCCAGCGCGTCATGTTGATATATTACGGCTTGGTGAACGTCGGTGCCTTTTTCGCTCTAGCTACGACCTACTGCGAGAAGGATGTCGGCTACTGGCTTGCCTACCTCACACCTGGAATTTTGTACTTCCTTCTCCCAACCTTACTTATAATCTTGAACAAGCATGTCGTCAAGAAAGCGCCTGATGCTTCGGTTCTCACTAATGTATTCAAAATCACTGGTATGGCAATCAAGCAGAATAAGTTCAGGTTCTGGGGCAAAGGTTATTTAAATGCCGCGAAGCCAAGCGTGCTCGCCGATAAAGGTATCCTGACCTTCAATGGCAACCCAATCTCATGGACGGATCAGTTGGTAGATGATACTGCTCGCACATACGCAGCGTGCGCCATCTTCCTCTATTTTCCAATCTGGTATAGCAATGACGGTGGCATCGGAAACGTCCTTACCAATCAAGGTGCTGCTATGACCACAAACGGTGCGCCCAATGATCTACTCTCGAATTTCAACCCGCTCACAATCATTGTCGTCATCCCGATCCTATCATATGGTATTTACCCCATGCTGCGCAAGTACAAAATCAAGTTCGGACGCATCAGTCGCATTACCTTCGGCTTCATCCTGGCCGCCATCTCCGGCGTTATCGGCGCCATCATCCAATGGCGCGTCTACGAGACCTCGCCCTGCGGCTACTATGCCAGCTCCTGCTCCATCGGCACCGGCGTATCGCCCATCAGCATCTGGTGGCAGATACCCAACGTGGCGCTCGGCGCCATCTCCGAGTGCTTCTGCAACGTCACCGCGTACGAAATCGCTTATGCCCGCTCGCCGAAAGGCATGAAGGCAGTCGTCATGTCTCTGTTCCTGTTCAACACGGCGCTGGCAACCGCGTTGGGAGAAGTGCTCACGTCCGTGACTGTCGATCCGTATCTGATCTGGATCTGGGCCGGATTGGCCATTGCCTTGGCGGTCCAGACGATCATTTTCCACTGGACCTACAAGGAGATGGACAACGACGAGTTCATGACGTACCAGGACGACAACGAGGTGCTTGAAGAGCACAGGCGTGGCAGCCGCGTTGAGCGAACGGTAGGTTCGATGGAAAGGAAGTTCAGAATGGAAAGCTCGGAAGAGGGTGAAATCGACAGTGCTGAATACGCAACTCGCCCTGCCCGACCTTGAATTTAATCCCATCTCAGTGTATGTCTCTGCGTCTGAGAGCAGGCTCCTCTACGCTCAATTTGGGTGCCTGCACCACGGCTGTGCACATTTTCGACCTCGGTCCGAATAGCAGTCGATCTCCTATCTCCCCACAATCTTTCGATTATCGACGCGGAGCCCGCAAAACCCTCAAGGAACGTAACCTCCTCATCTTTCGCCAAGACGGAGACTTGAGCCGCATCTCAGCCCGGAGCCAACACCCTCTTACGAGGGTGTCCGAGTCAATCGCCAGACCCTCTCGAACCTCACGAGGCAATCTCGTTCCTCGTCTGTTACCAGTGTTGATAATAGTGCATCAACTAAAGACTTCGCTACCTCTCAGATCGTTCAATTCTAGCACTTGAATAATGCACTTTGAGATCTAGTAATCAACAGTCACTCCTGCAATACCCTAGCGTGACAAGAACCCACTTGCGCAACGCAAACAGGAATTCTGTAATGCAGCCCTCAGGAGTCCGTCCTTCACACCAACCAAGCTTAATTGCTGTCCCTCTTGCAATCGTACTTAATCAGCGCTCCGAAACGAGTACCAATCGCCACAGTGCGACTGGAGGCTAGTCGATCTCATGATATCGCCGCCGTTTCCGACCCTCGCCAGGAACTCTGTAAGGGGTAGGAGACAGGCCTCCAGTCCGAACTATATAGTCACCTGTTTTGCGCCCGTCAATGGCTCTTTATTCTATTCCGTCTCTCTCTCAGAGTCATTGCATACGTTTGTCCCACCCATCCACCCACCCGTGCCTGTACATAGCCATTTCGCTCCAGATGTATGCCGTAGGTATAGGAGTTTTTGCGCGCCGGGGGTACGAGTATATGCCTGCTCAGGCCTGTTCGGGCTTGCTATGCCCGGCGTGAGACCGCTCAAGCAGTTGTTGTTATCCTATGTGGGCCCTGGTTGGACATGTGATGTGGGGGTTTCATGAATGGGACGTTTGAAGGGCCTTCTAGAGCTGCTGGAGTCCCATAATAGTTGGTCTGGCGATGTGATGGTGTAAGGTCGGTAAGCGGTCTCTGATATGGTTTTTGACGCTCGTTCTGTGACGCGGAAGTACAACGCCAATGAGGAGAACATCTGCACTCACTTCCGGTCTGTACAGTTGGGCGGGAGACTTTGGAGCCTATTTACGCTCATCGAGCCGGTGATCAAAAGCCCAATGATAAGGTACGCCATCAAGACATCCCTGTGAACAAGCGACCTTAAGGGGAGAATTGGTTCATCGGCGTACTTTGCCTCTACGAGCAGGAATAGCAGGCTAGCTGTAAACGAAAGAACGAACAAGCGGAGGATCAGTGGATCTGAGACCATAAGCCTCTTGCTGGCGAATTTCCAAACAAGTAGGAAGGCAATAATGAAAGTGGCAAGGAGAATTACGCCGGGAAAGTCGACGCGGTGGAGCTTAGACAGAGATCCCTCGCTGGCTTTCGGGCTGCCATCTGCTCTTGCGCTGGTGTTGTGTTCAGAGTCAGTCGGGAGCTTCCAACACACCTGGGTTAGAGCCAGCACGGCCAAGGGAGCCTGACAAGCAAACGAACCTCGCCAGCCAATCGTATCCGCCAAGATACACCACAAAGGCGCGCCAACGCCTCCCCCAAACGTAACCATCACATACATCCACGACCGCCATAGGGCCACGTCGCGTAACGGGACCAGAGACAGGATCGAACTTGAGACAAGGCTTCTCATCCCCACTCCACCCATGCCTGCCACGACGCGACCAGCAGCAAATTCGGACAGATCCCTACCCCGACTATAGAGAATGCAGCCGATGCCGAATAGTGCATAAGCAAATGTAAGCACGACTCGATACCCAAAGATGTCGCTGAGTTTGCCGTACAACGGTTGAGCAGGCCCCAGGCCCAGTCGATACGAGGCCAGGATCCATATGGCGTCTTGAAAGCGGCCGAAGTCGGAGCTGATGGTGTTATACACGGCGATGACCATGGTGCTATTTACGGAGACGAGCCAGACTCTGAAGTAGTGTACGATGATGGGACCCAGGATCCCTGACACGCTCGATGAAGCATTGTCGTTGGGATCCTCTTGGTGATGATTTGATTCTTGCGGACTCGCATCGCTCTCTGGCGGAGTTCTCTCGACACCCTGGCGGCCGTTCGTTGGCTGTTTTGATAAAAATGAGAGTCAAAGCCATGACATTCGAGAATGGAAGGTTCTGGGGAGGGGTTGAAGCAGGGTTTTGCTGAGTCCATGTTCGGATGGATCAAGGGAACATTCAGAGCTTCAATTTAGAAGGAGAGCTCAGAAAGATTCCAAGGGTCTGATCGATTTATGCTGCATTTGGAGTTAAGACCAGGCCTGAGGACGAGAGACGGTGTTGATGACTTAGAATCAGAAACCCACTAATCCCCAGTCCCACTGTGGCGAATTTTGCACACCGTAAATCGGCGTAATTTTAGACCGTGGTCGATCATGCCAGATAAAGCACACACGGTTTCATTTCATTGTAATCTTACCTGACGCTTGTCACACTACTACAGACTAGACTCTTTAGCTAGGAACCCTGCTGCCCTAGCCTGAGCCCAGACCAGATTCATCTGAAGACTTAAAGACTGACTAGATACCGTTAAATGCAGGCATTTGCGTGCCTATCATCTAATGCACAGCCGGCATAAAGCGAGAGAAGTACATGTCAACAGCCTCAACGTTTTCCATGGCACAGACAAGACCCACATATCCGTCAGGTCTAATGATTGCTAAGCAGCCATCACCCTTTGAACAGAATCCAAAACGCGAGTAAGCTTGTGCGGGGTTGCCGTGAACGTCATCGTTGTCGGCATAGACTTTCCAGTATCCCATCCCGACTGGTCGCTCAAGGGTGAAAGACTTCATGTAAGTCGAATACTTCAACCTTGAACCGATGGGCAGCATGAATGGTGAGGACCTCAACTCGAGCGTCGATCGGATCGCCGAAAGGAGCGATTCTGCGTAAGAAGCTCGTCTCTGACGAAAGATAGTTGCCCAGCTCATGCAAGCGATCGAGGTACGTTGATTTAGAGACGTCGCCTGCAAAGACAAGGATCCTGAACCGACCGTCTGATCGTAGCATCTCGTGGATTAGACCAGGGTAGGACGCCGAGGCTGGTGGAAGTCCTTCGCAGGTTCGATCCACTGTGTAGAGGTAATGGATGGGTTGGCACCCCACGTGTAAGACTGCAGAGAATTTCCAGCCTAGGTTGTAAGCTCTGCGATCATTAGTCACAGACGCTCCCGGTCCGAAAGACTTATAGGCACCATCTTGTATGCTCATGTTCATACCCTGACCTGCCTTTAGGGAGTGTGTGTCTAAAAACTATTCGGCCTCTCATATTGGGCAATCCCTCAGACGTTGGCCCGAATAATCACCAACACTTTGTTCGGAGGAGTACATACGAGCAGCTTCGCCGACCGAAAAGACGCGGTTATCTGCGGGCCGTTGACCTATTCGATAGATTGACCACCAATCACAAAATACAAAGCTGAATGTGAATGGCGATGGAACCTTACGAGCTTTCTCCAGATTTTGAACAAATGAGTGACCCCGTCCTCTGGAAAAGAAGAATATTCCGCGTCTCCATCAAACAGCTATATGTAGACGCGCACCAGCTTGTTCTCTCAAGGTATGATGAGGAGATTTCCATGCAAAGACTGAACACTGCAGTTCTTCCGTATGTCCGGGAAGTCTGTCTTTGCAAGAACATCCAGCACACCTGAATGAAATTCAAGAGTGAGTTGTCTTGCCGGCCGAGGATCATGTTGTACGTACCCCAAACCGGTACTATTCCTTGGCGCCGGAAAGCGACATCAAGGTGTTTCTGGGTCCAACTATGAGCACCATTGCAACCGACGACGTACTTCGTCTTGACCATCTGTTGAAGAGACCCCCTTGAAATAATCCGCTATGTGCTCGCTTTTCTCACCATTGCAGACGAAGTCTTCGCGTCGTCGCTCTCTTCTTAGTACTTTTTGGCTCTGAGAGTTATTTCATTTGGATCCCCTTTGAATACAGACTCGTGCTGGAAACGTGCCAGCATTGAGTGCTTCTGTAAGGTGGACAGGAGTCGATCCAAATTCGACTTGATTGTTCCGAAAGACCTCAATATCCTTCGATAGAAGCCCTTCAACAGTAGCTAGACCATTTTAAGAATAACACTTGATCGATATTCGCGTCTTCAAAGCTCTTACCTTGCTGTAGTATGAGCACGCGCGGCTTGCTTAGTCCACTGATGACCTCGGGTTGAATATTCGAGAAAGCCCGCTTCATCTGGATCCTAACAGCACTGTTCGTCGACACGACAAGCCAGACTTTCCAAGTGGTGCCCGATGCCAATGGAGTGGAGCATCTCGATCGTCAGACATTTAAAGCCATCGGCGTGACCGACCGCTAGGGTTTGACCCTTTTCTCGATGATTCGATATTTGACCTTGTTGTGGTTGGAACAGATTGCTAGCATGAGTCTGTCCAAAAACTCAGCTGTTGTGTCGAGTAGTGCATCAAGTTTGAGGACCCTGCAGGTCGAGCGCCGATGATAAGCACATCCACACCGTCCAAAGGCATGCCCTTTGAGCTGTCTGGTATCATGGCTCTTTGCAATGTGCGCCTCATGGGTGTTGTTCTGCCTTCTAAGGTGTGTGAAGTCAAGATGCTGAACAAGTAATCATATATATGCATTTTGTTAGAAGAATTTGTACGAGAATGGAAAGACTCAGAGCTTTGCATAGTATAGGTGTGGCCATGGATAGTACCTTGCAGACCATGCTGAAGAAGACACTCTCCAGAATGGTTACTGGCGAGGGACACTGAGAGGTGTCGGGAGCTGAGCCACCACCGCCCTAGAAGGTTTCAATTCAGCTGGGAGGAAAGCCGGCACAGACTAAAAGAACCCCAAGAGAAAGCTAGATGTTGTCCGATGCGTATAAGGTTAATTTATAAACGAAGATGTTGAAATCTAAAATCTAAACAGAAATGAGACCAGAAGAGAAGAGAAGAGAACAGAACAGAGCGGTACTCGGAGATCTTCGGTCTTCTTTCTTCTGATGAGCAGTCGCGTATCATTGCAGTAGCGAGCGCCATTGTCGGAAGTGGCTTGCTGAGTACCACCCCAGTTGGTAGGACTGTCCCAGTTCGAGTCTATGTGGTGTGTAAGGGAAACCCCCAAGCTAAGGAGGAGTACTTCATGTATGTGGGTAAGATAGCTGTAGTATATGAAGACTAATTGTTGTTTTAAAAGCCCCACACGGCGATCCGAATTATTAGGGCTACCTAGAGCTATAAAGTACGGTTAAGCTATGTAAAATCAAAGATACTAGAATAGAATTACAAGCAGATAAGCATACCTTAGTGTTCAATACGCGTCAACGTCCAGTGAGCTAGGTAATTACTTCGCCCTGGTCTGACGCGGTCCCAAACATTGGTCGACGCTCTGATGTACTTGGGGCTCTTACTCTCATCAGGCGCAGACTCTTCACAATCTCATCTTGCAGCCCGTGTAATATAGGAATCCCATGATCCTTAGTGCAAGATTCGACTTCTAGATCGGCCTCAGCACCTGGCTGAGCGTCATACAGGGGTAGCAAACCCACAGTAGAGATGCGCAGGCCGGCTGGGCAGAAAGACAAAGAGACCTGCCATGGCCCAGACTCTCCCAGCCATTTGAATCGACAGTATGTTTCTTCTTGTAAGTACTCCCATCTCATTTGCTGGTGCCCAGTCTTTCTGTACCTCCTTATCAAGTCCGATTTTACGTCTTGTATTTACTTCAAGAATCATCGAACTCTAGCCTCTCCGCGTCCGTGTCTGTTTGAATCTAGTTTATTGTTTATCAGTATATATAATAGAATAAGGTAGGGCTGAACTAGAAAACCTTGAATTTGTATGTGCAGCCAATCATCAATTCGTCAGGTCTACGCTTTTTGGTTAGACACCGCGGGTAAACAAATTAGCGTCCGCAACCATCAAAAAAATAGGTGTACATTATTAACATATAGAAAAACTTTTTTGTTTTCTATTAACTTTTTGAGATTTTAAATTTTAAATTTTGAAGCGCAGTCTGCGCTTTCCGAATTTTTAAGAATTTTGAAATTTGGTCTTATAATTATTAAAGCGCAAGGAATTCAAATATCGCTCACCAGAGTTCGCTCACCAAAGTCCGCTCGACAGCCCTGATCAAAAAAAAAGGGTACACATTATTTGATTTTAGAATAACTTTTTTGTTTTCTATTAAAATTTTAATTTTTTTTTTAAACTATAGAGTATAATGTGGGCTTTCAGATAAAAAAAAGAATTATCTAATTTAGTCTTATAGATATTTAAAAGGTAAGGAATTCAGATATCGCTCACCAAAATTTACTCGACAGCCCCGATTAAAAAAAAATGATTATGAATTTAATTCATAGGCCTTTACTCGTATAAAATAATTCTATAAAAAGAAGAACATTTTTTTCGGATATGACGCGACCCTCCTTCATATTCATAGGAATCAGGCTGAAGAAGTGTGTCTTGCGTCTATCTCGAGTCCGCCATATTCATCAACAAGTCCATCGACCTCAAGGTATTTTGAAGCGCCGTTCATGCTCTTTGTATTAGCCGGCTCGCATATTGAGTTTTCAAGGCTGCCAGTCTAATCTTCATCAGGTTAGCTCATCGCTCTTAGCATGGGCCGGGGGCCATGCAACATTGTTATTCAGCTCCTCACCTCCGTCATTCTCCTGTAAAAGAAAGGAACTTTCTATCCTCTTCTCCTATTCTATATCAGCATGTCTTCATCGCTATCATGCTCTCTTTATTGTGTCTTTTTGTCGCGCTCTTTCTTGCCAGCGTAGTCAATGCTTTCGCGGCCTGGCTACCAAATTGCACCACTCCTACCCAGCATGTCAACTTTGTGTCAAGCCCCCAAGCTCGGGGAACGATGGACATTATCTGGACATGCTTCGCCGTCCTCTCACTCTGCACTTGGACGGTCCAGCATCTTATGGTGCCGGTCCATAAGGAATACGAAAAGGTGTCGGCGATCCGTAAATTTTGGGGGAAAGTCAGCTTCAACTACACAAAGTTGAAGTGGATGGGCATCTGTATTGCCGCTCCGGAATACATCCTTGGAAAAGCACTCAATGAATGCCTTGCAGCACGTGACAGCCGGAGACAGTTCAAAGAGTGGCTCGCAGCCAACGGCACACGGAAACATTTCGACAGCGAAGTTGCCTGTGACGCGGAAGAAAGATCTCAAGAAGAAGTTTGGACGACTGCACATGGATTCTTTGCGAACATGAGAGGCTTTGTGCTCCGCTTTGATGTCGCAGCCGTGCCGACATCACTTGAGCCTTCAAAGCCGACTGCGCTTGGGCGATCGCGTCAAAATCCCAGGCTGGTGACCCGGGACGGTGATCCACCTTATTACGAACAAGAGGCCAAAAAAGCTGAGGCCACAGAGCTAGATCACTGCCGAGAGATCTGCAAGAAACCCTGCCGAAACCGTCCAAATGTGGCTAACACTCACGATTACAAAATCCCCACGAGCACTCCATCGAGTCGTCGGTATCAGCCTGCCGAGCTGGCCAGCAACACAGGGCAGCAAAGAATAAACATCGAAGAGTTGGAACAGCCGGAAACATCAGCGTTGGATATACCAACCGAGCCCGAATCGCTGGGACTCCTGACAGACCGAGCGCCTCCACAAAACTTCTCGCCAACAGAAGCGGCAGCTGTTACGCTCGTGAACAGCCCTGACTTCTCACAACACGACGTTATGGCAGGCCTGGCACCCAGTACATATGCTCTCAGCCCAGTCATGCCAAGGCGCATTCCGGCGCAACAAGGTACCTCACCTGAGGGCTATCGGCCGAATACCAATATACCTGAAAGTGAGAAGTTGGGCCCGCATAGAACATGGAAGGGTACTTGGGCACTGTCATCCATTCAGCTACTCTATGCGTGTCAAAAGGGTATTATTCCAGGCCCGCCTGAGCTTAGCACTGCGGATCTGGAAGACCGAAGCAAAGGGGACATATTCGTCAAGGGAGCCGCGGTTTTACAGATCTCCTGGCTTGTGATCCAAATAATCGCTCGTGCAAGCGAGGGTCTCGCGATAAGTCTACTAGAGATCACCACCCTCGCCTTCGCAGCCTGTGCAATCGCTACCTACATCCTCCTGTGGCACAAGCCCCAAGATGTCATGACACCCACATACATCGATGCAACCAACATTCTCACCCGGGAGCAAGTCATCGGCTTAGCAGCCCGTTCTCCTGTATCGAATTTGATCGTGCACGAATTCTGGCTTCATGGGGTGGCTGTTCGAGCCATGGCAGACACCGTCTTCCCTTGGACACGTGGCATACCGATACGACTCCCGCGGCAAGGGGATACCCTCTACCTCAACCCAATCTTCATAGGCATCGGCTTTGGCGGCGCTCTTTTCGCTACCATCCATTTCGTTGCCTGGAACTTCGTGTTCCCAACGCCAGTCGAGCGGATGCTCTGGCGCGTGTCCTGCTGCGTAATTCTCAGCATGCCACTGCTGGGCACCGCTATGTACTTTGTGACGATACACAATGCTAGAAAAGACAGCGAGACGGATACCAAGACTAATGCGCTGCTGAGACCCTTTTCTACGATTTGTACATTGCTGTATCTGTTTGCGAGGTTGTACCTTATGACGGAGGTCTTTCGATCGTTGGCGTATCCGCCGCCGACTACGTTTCAGGACATCAATTGGCCCAGCGCTATACCGCATGTTAACTGACATTTATCTACCTGTGCACTACGCCAATTCTGCAATTTCGATTGGGTACTCTCAAATTGTTTGATCTCAGTCCCATGCGATATGAGTCTTAGTTGATTGCCTAGCAGTGCCTCATACAGCCGAGTGTTTGCTTCAGTCCTCGAACACAGTCCGATTGCTTGAGCATCTGTTTGTGAACAATCAGGCCTCAACGGCCACGTTGCGAAACCTTGATTGCTTGTCAAAGACACGTACATCTTCTCCTCTATCTCCACTGAGCAATCCAGGTATAATACCCCCCCTCATGGACATAGCTCGATCGTTGATAAAGAACGTGAGAACGACGACTTTATACACGCTCAATATGAAATATATACATTTAGCCATTTTGTTGTTATATAGGTCTCAAAACCTTGGGAACTCCCATTCGCTTATGCAGGGATGCCAAGAACTCGATCCTTCGTGGGAATTCTTATTTCCGAACTCTGACAGTGACACAGTCCTCGTCCAGCCCCGCTGCCACCTTCCCACCCCTCTTTGCTTCCATTCTCTTCACCTCAGCAATCTTGATGCGTAGAGGAGTTTTCTTTCCCCCAAGGCCCTACCTCAACGTTGATTGGCGGTCTGCATCGCGTCCGTATTAATAACACTCAATTACACTCGCCATGGGTAACCTTCTGACAAAACCTGACCGAGAGGCTCGTGTAACCTCAGCCAGCGCTGGGGACTTTGCGATCACGACGCCAGGGACATTCGATGAAGATCCTGCCACCGTTAATAAGAACCGTATATGCCTTAAGCCAGCGCTGGAGGCTATAACAACCACACCATTGAGCGAAGTGCCGTCGCCTCCGCGTCTCAAACACCGCGCACCCGTACGACCACCCAATAGCCCTGAAACCGATCGATGGTCATTCCAAGGATCGTCGCGATCTGGATCTGCACACTCACCACTACCGCACACCAAGCGTTATGATACACCTAGCGATTCCGGCTCGTACACAGACAAGTACGCGGACATGAGTTCAGACTCGGACTTCTTCCAGTGAGTGCCTGTTCGTCTTCGAAAACTTCGCCCCCGAGTAATAACACATGCTAGACTCATAGTTGGACCAGCTGTTGACATATTCGTCGGCCCTGAGGAAGTACAGTTTACCTTACCGCGTAAACTCCTTTACTATCATTCGAGATTCGCGGAGCGCGCTATAGAAGGATTCTTCCGCGAAGCCTCCGAGAAGGCGCTTAGGCTTCCGCAAGATGACCCCGAGGTCTTCTACTGGCTGGTACAATGGATGCTCCAAGGAAACCTTGAAATGGTGGAGCAACTCCGACAGAAATATCAATGGAAGAACGGTAGACAGGATTGGCGCGAATACGCTTGCCGTCTCCTATGCCGGCTTTGGATTCTTGGCGATAAGATTCTGCATGAACCCGAGTCGAGCAGAAGATGGCCTGGGATATCTTTTGCTTGGAGTATCCGTTGGGGCTTGCATGACTTGTTTTGCGGCGCTCAGGACGATAATTTGCGAACACCCTTGATACCAGATATTGTCATTGAGGTATGGCAGAATACCATGCCGGACATTGAAGAGCCCGGCAAGCATCGGTTTGGACCTCGAGACCGGAGCTTACGCCAGATACTGTTCGACGAGCTCTGCGATTCGCATTTTCACAAAACGGGAGTCTTTGACTGCTCGGAGTACTCCAAGTGCTTTATGTTGGATGGCGGCAAGTTTGCGGCGGATGTGCTTGCGTATCTCATGCGTTTTGCCAATATGGATTTTGATGAGCGAAATGTAGAAATGCAGTGGGATTGATGTGCACGGAGCGGATACCGAAGAATACGCGCGGGAGAAGGGTTTGCAAGCATGTTGTTCAGTAGATGGGAATATGATTGAGACAATCCGTTGCCGGCATATTGTTTGTTTGGATAAGCGTAGATGTTGACTGAGATGACAATGGTATAACGAATATTTGAATCAGATAATCTTAGTTAAGATATATGTTAGGAAAATTTGCACAGCGACAAGGATTCCGCGGCTCAAACTAGCGTCGTATAGATTGACAAAAGAGGTAATTTAGCCGAGCGGCAGAGCTTTGGGGAGCGAGGCCTGGTAGGTTCATTTCTTACATCAACTACGAGGATTGCCAAGATCAATTCAGCCGATATCTCGTCCTACCTCTGTCTCGCTGCTAAATTTACACACATAGTCAGTCACTGTAGTCCTCCTCAGACCCCTACAATGTCTTCCTCCCCTACACCCTCAGAGCGCGAGAAGAAAGACAAGGAAGACCGCGCCAGAGAGGCAGAAGAGCAAGCCAAGCTACCGTACAAATGGACACAGACAATACAAGACCTCGACATCACAATATCCGTGGCCTCAAATCTACGCGGTAAAGACATCGTGGTAGACATGACCAAGACGAAGCTGAAAGTTGGGGTGAAGGGCCAGGAGGCTTTCATTGATGTACGCGCAGCTACATATTACGTTCTATACTAAGCTACGTCTTTATATGTGGAACCTGCGCTGATGCTCCTTGCTTTCACAGGGTCCCCTCCCCTACGAGATCCACCCCTCCGAATCCACCTGGACGCTCGAGCCCACCTCCTCCGGCAAAGACATCTCCATCCACCTCGACAAAGCCAACAAGCAGCAATGGTGGGCCTCCGTCACCACCAACGCCCCCTACTTCCTCGACACCTCTAAGATCCAGCCGGAGAATAGCAAGCTGGGGGATCTGGATGGGGAGACGAGGGGTATGGTGGAGAAAATGATGTATGATCAGCGGCAGAAGGAGATGGGGAAGCCGACGAGTGAGGAGCAGGGGAAGTTGGATATGTTGGAGAAGTTTAAGAAGAGTCATCCGGAGATGGATTTCTCGAACGCGAAGATGGGTTGAGAGGGGGCTGAGTGAGGAGGGGGGAGGGGGAGAGAGATGGGTCTTTGCTTGCATAGCGATGGGGTGCATGAGATATCAATAACGAGGGAAGTGTGAGACAATCATTACTGGCTACGTGCCTTGCTGCACTACAGGTTTGAGCATTAGATCCGAAACAGCGAGCCGAGTCATGCATGATCACATTCTGTTTGTTGAGGTGATGAAGCTGGGGGATATAACTCATGATGTCTGCAGTATTCTGCAGTAACGAGGGTATGTCTGCATGCGTAGCACTTGGTATTTTTCTGGGTCTCAGACCCCAATCTTGATTTTCGCGAGTATGTTTGGGGTTTTTATGTCTTCTCACTTCCCCATCTATGCGTCTAAAACAAGGCTGACCTCTGGGAAAATATCGGAGTCTGGCGCGATCATCCCCGTAGGATTCTGACATGCATGATGCTGTCATACAATAGGACTAGCGAAACGTGGCCCCTCAATCAGCCTTCAGACGACCAGCGATAACGACCGTCTTACCCAACGCTGGCGGATCAACAAACATACTAATAGACGCCTAAATACCATAATAATGCAGAAGTTGAAGCAAAAGTTTCTGCCGCTCCGAGGGATTGAGCCTCGAATATCATCAGCGGTACGATTTCTGGCAATCTTTTGACCACCAGTCTTTATTATGTTTGTGTGTCCAAGCTTATTGTTGTTAGGGATCGAGCTCGAATCTTAACTCTGCAACTGCTCCCGGACCATTGCTCCCGGTGCCGGAACCAGAGAGCCAGCTTCAACCACTAGCTGGGGCTCCTTTCCCCAGCTCTTCGTCATCCGCAGTGTCTGGAGTGCCATATGGGCTGGAATTGCTTTGTCAGGGAGTAGAGCCGATAGTAGAGTAAGTCAGATGTATACCCGACCATGGCGCTAAATAGGTCTTCTAAAACCCATTGTAGCATAGTCGCAGTCCATGGACTCAACGGCCACCGCGAGACAACCTGGACCGATCAACATGATGTACTCTGGCTTCGAGATCTGTTGCCATCCAAGCTTCCAAACGCGCGCATTTGGACCTGGGGTTACGACTCACGAACTCACACCAAGAGCCATCATGATCATTTGACGAACAAGAAGTTGTACGATCATGGTAGAGCGCTGGTACAGGATCTCGACGGCGAGCGACGAGATGATGACTCATATCAACGGCCAATTATCTTCATCGCTCATAGTCTGGGAGGAATTGTTGTCAAGAGTGTAAGCTTCGTTTTCCTTGATGCTGCTTATGTTTATTTGACTTCTGCCGCTTCGGACTGCTGTGAATACCAATTTTAAGCTCGCTTGAGTGGACAACAGCGTAACATTTTGACCTAACATCTCTCGAGGCACTACTTCACTCCGATCGAGCGAGAAAAGGTAATCTTGAAGAAGAGAGATCCATTAAGCTCTCTACCTACGGCGTCATCTTCATGGGTACTCCACACCAAGGCGGCCAGGGAGTGAATGTAGGGGAAATATTGCTCAACCTGGCGAAGGTACGGGGCAACACAAATGATAGTCTTCTTAAACACCTAGAGGAACACTCCGAGCTTCTACAACAACAGAATTCCGAATTCACATCTATCAGTCAAGACTTCGACATAAAGTTTGCCTATGAGACATTGCCGACCCCTCTTGTAGGCGGAGCGGCCAAAGTAGTAAGTACGCTGCATCATGAACGTCGATGAATCATCTCACCTACAGCCAGATCGTACCTAAATGGTCCGCTGTGGTTCCTGGCACTCCAGATGCTGCGGAATTTGGGATCAGTCAAGACCACAGGCAAATGACAAGATTTTCGAACAGCGAGGACCAAGACTTCAGGAAGTTGTCTCGAATGCTAGCGTCCATGGTTCAGAAGGCACAAGCAAAGATAGAGAGCAACTGGCAATCAGAAGGGCGTCTAAAACAAGGTGTGTGACCGCGAAGCTTAGACATGAAGCTTTGGCAGAATAGAGATCCCTATTTCCCATGGAAATGGGTCATTGGCGGACCTCATTTTCTTCTCTCAGTGTACTTGGTTGTGAAGATGTCAGAACGAAAGCCGCTAGTGCTCGTTCGATTAAATGTCTACGAATCTAATTCTCTCAAGCGGAACAAACTGAACACGCTGTTGCGATCAAAAGCTGATATCGCATTGATTTGACCTGTCTTTTGTTTCGTTTTGGAGTTGCTGTTGTCTTCGAGTATCGGTCAACCTCGATCGCTCAATATTTCGACGGCGAACCTGATGAATCACTACTGATGGTCGTTGATTTCTCTAGGCAGACAAGCGTACAAAGTGCCTTTCGACATCCGAGGAGTCCCGATCGTAGGGAAATATGTCGAGCGACATTGGGAAATGCAATACATGGAGGGAAAGTTGTTACCAAAAGAAGAAAGCAAGCAGCAAAGAAAATTCGTGCTTCATGGTCTGGGAGGCATTGGCAAGACACAGCTGTCTCTAGCTTATGCAAGGAAACATCAAACTGATTACACTGCCGTATTCTGGCTCAATGGACAGGCTCGTGAAAGCCTTAAACAAAGTATTGCAGGGATTGCGAGCCGGTTGCCGAAAGACCAGATGTCGGAATTTGCCACGAGTTGCACCCAGCAAGGCAGCGAACAGCTGGATAAACTTGTCGAGGAGGTCCTGGGATGGTTCAGCAGGGAGGATAACGGCAAATGGCTACTGATCTACGACAATGTTGATCGCGATAGTTCTGACGATCCAGAGGCTTTCGACATTGTGGATTTCCTGCCCGGAAGCGATCACGGAGCAATCATCATCACAACTCGTCAATTACGACTCAGAACCTTAGGAGATGAGATGCCTGTCACCAAGATGACAATGGAGGAGGGACTGAAAGTCCTGGAGAATCAATCAGGATCTACATTGATAGGTAATCTTAGTTTCACAAACGCACCAGTCGATAACACATTAAGCCTCTTAGTGTTGGCGGGTATCAAAATGCTAACGCTGTTTAGATAATCCACAGGCATCTGAACTTGTGAATCGTGTAGGGGCCCTCCCACTGGCTCTTGCGCAAGCAGCCTCGTACATGCGAGAGACAGGCACTAGCGTGACCGAATACCTCGACTTCTACAATACCGCTTGGGATGATCTCATGAAACACGAGGCTCGTCCAGAATCCGTATTACGCGAATATGGAAACCGCAGTGTCCAGACCACATGGAATATTTCCTTTGAGTCCGTCAAGCGGAAAAATGAAGATGCCGCGAACATGCTGCAAGTTTGGTCTTATCTCGACAATAGGGATATCTGGTTTGAGCTTTTCAACAACAAGAAAAACTCGGACCTAGAAGGGTGGTCAAGCCCACCGGAGTGGTTTCGCAGAGTTGTTCGCAACAAATTGAGTTTCAAAGGGGTCGCTGGCACCCTTCTCGCTTACTCACTGATTGAAGCAAGACAAGACTCTGACTCCTATGGGGTACATCCGGTAGTCCATGAATGGTGCAGAAAGACGGTGACCACGGACAGGCAACACGAGTCAGCTTTTTTGGCGATCACGTCCGTTGCGTTTGGGGTGCCAGATGGAAATGAAAGAGACTACTGGAGGACTCAGCGTCGTCTGCTACCGCATGCAAATCGATTCTCTCAACAGTCGATGGACATGTTGGAAGAGGCCCTTGAGCCAGAGCAAGCGAATGAACTTCATACTGCGTTTCATTTTCTAGGTGACCTCTATAGTGATCACAGTATACGGATGCGGGTAGAGGCTGAGGCTCTGTATAACCGCGCAATGTCGGGCAGGGAAAAGTCTCTGGGCTCCCATCACATGAATACAATACATACACTTAGCAGGATAGGTAGTTTGTACTATTACCAGGGAAGGCTGGTAGACGCCGAGGACTTGCATAGGCGCGTGCTGGCCAAGAGAACAGAGGAATTGGGTCCAGATCACAAGACAACGATGATTTCAGTCTATAATCTCGCGGTTGATCTCCAAGACCAAAATAAGCTAGTTGAAGCAGAGGACTTGTACCAGCGGGTATTGACGTGGCATCAAAAGGCGCCGCATCCAACTCATACCATAGATCCCAACCTATACACTGCCTTAGGATCTCTCTACCGCAAACAAGGGAAGCTGACACAGTCCGAGGCCATGTATCTGCAAGCACTCGCTGGGTACGAGGCGGCACTAGAGTCAGATCATCCGTTCACACTGCAAGCCAATCATAATCTAGGGCTCCTATACGTTGACCAAGAAAGGCTAGCAGAAGCTGAGGCTGCGTTTAAAGGGGTGTTAGAAGGCAGGAAGAAAGTATTTGGGCCGGATCATGAAGAAACACTGGCCGTGATGTTCAGCCTAGGCTCCGTCTTTGAGATGCAGGGAAGGTTGACGGAAGCTGAAGCCATACATCGGCAGGCGTTGGCAGGACGTATCAAAGTACTCGGTCCGAAACACGAGTCGACATTGGAAACGTCCGGGAATCTAGGACTATTGTATGAGCAGCAGGGGAAGCTTGCGGAGGCTGAGGCTTTATACCTGCAGGCAGTAGAACCATTCAAGCACGTTCCAGATGAACAAAAGACTTCAGCAACTTTCGACTTGCTAAATGATCTAGGCTGTCTATACGGAAGGCAAGGGAGATCAGCTGAGGCTGAGGTGATGTATCAGCAAGCTTTGACAGGGTATCAGACGGTGCTGGGTCCAGATCACGAAGATACGTTGCGTACACTCAACAACTTGAGAGAATGCTACGAGGATCAGGGCAAGCTCGCTGAAGCTACACATTTATGTCTACAGGAACTAGAGCTTCATGGACCAGACGCTCGGAAAGTCGAAAGGGTTCTCAATTTGAGAGACCATCTAGGCGTTCTTTATCACAGACAACACAAATTCGTTGAAGCTGAAGCAATGTACCAGCAGGCTTCAAACGGATATCAGACGGTGCTGGGTCCAGATCACGAAGATACGTTATGTACACTCAACAACTTGAGAGAATGCTACGAGGGTCAGGGCAAGTTCGCTGAAGCTACACCTTTATATCTACAGGAACTAGAGCTTTATGGACCAGATGCTCGGAAAGACGAAAAGATTCTCAACTTGTTAGACAATCTAGGTGTTCTTTATCACAGACAACACAAGTTCGTTGAAGCTGAAGCAATGTACCAGCAGGCTTCAAACGGATATCAGACGGTGCTGGGTCCAGATCACGAAGATACGTTGCGTGTACTCGGCAATCTGAGAATATGCTACGAGGACCAGGGCAAGTTCGCTGAAGCTACACCTTTATATCTACAGGAACTAGAGCTTTATGGACCAGATGCTCGGAAAAACGAAAAGATTCTCAACTTGTTAGACAATCTAGGTGTTCTTTATCACAGACAACACAAGTTCGTTGAAGCTGAAGCAATGTTCCAGCAGGCTTCAAACGGATATCAAACGATGTTGGGTCCAGATCACGAAGATACGTTGCGTACACTCAACAACTTGAGAGAATGTCACGAGGATCAGGGCAAGCTCGCTGAAGCTGAAGCATTGTCTCAGGGGAGGGAGTGACCTAAATGGAGTTTATGGTCGAGATCGTATCTCTATCTCCAAATTGGGCAAAAATCTCAGCAAGCGGTTCAGACACTCATTTCCTCACACCACGTCATCCAAAAACAACAGGTCTTGAACCCATCCAACCCGGAGGAATAGCGTGGCGACGTCACCCGCAAAAGCAGCTCGAGTGGATCATGGACCTACCCAGGCACACCTCTCTGCAGAATCACACAACGTCTCTCGAGAGATACTGCGTCGGGGCGCACAATTTTGCTGCGGACTGCAGTGTAGGCAGCAGATCCATGGCCGTATCCTACGCTTTGAACATCTGGGGTGGTTTTGTTTGAGATTCAGCAGCGAATGCTACGGCGTTCGGCGTGCTTTTCCCAGCGGAGGTCTTGGCGATATGGATTAGATTTTTCTTCGGGGGCTGTACTGTTGCAAGGAATATCATGCCTTCTTTCTACCATTTTTGCGGTTGAAGTATCCGGGCTGAAGGCTTTGGGTCCGCTGATGCTGTTGCAGTTGCAGGATGGATGTTGTGTCTTCAAGTCTCGAGTCAGCTGCTAAACCTAAGGCCAATCATTTCATGTCCGTCAGTTTACATCTGGAAGTTGGCGTCACAATCAATGTGGGATAGCTCTGAACGAACGTGGCCTGCAATTGGGACTCATTGCCTTCCAACTCCAGTTTGCATTACTCAGAATAAACATGCGTAAATCAAAAAAAGGGGCAATATGAAGCTGGTCATCTTGCCCTACTCATCCACCTCAAGGCATAGAGAACTTTAAGATCAGGTTTGGATAATCGGTTAGCGGTTCCAGGGCCGGAGCGGTATATGCACCTCGTTCGGGGTGAAACGGATACGTTTAGCATATGCTATGAGTTCATCTGGGGTGAAGCGAGCATATGCCGAAGCTTCATCCCTGCCGAACTTCCTTTTTCACCCCTGCCGAGCTGTAACCCGGGTAAGTCTTCCAGTTCACTTCCGACTCTCGAACAAGGCTTCTATCCCCAGCCCGTATTCGTAAAAGCTGAGACTGCGAGGGTATAAGTATGGCTTCGATCTCCTACCAATTTGCTTCTGTATCTCAAGCTCGATACGTCTTCTGCCGTCTTCCAGTCCATTCTCAATCTCAGGTTGAATTCACGGCGTCACGTTCCTCTCCACAAGCAGCATTACTCGCAGGCCTCCAACCCTACCACAACCACAATGCCCTCCCCACGCACCCTCCTCATAACAGGCGCAACCGGCAAACAAGGCGGCGCCCTCATCACCTCCCTCCTCGCCTCCCCCTCCGCCTCCTCCTTCAACATCCTCGCCCTAACGCGCAAAAAGACCTCTGCGGCCGCCAAAGCCCTAGCTGCCCGGTCGCCCAAGCTCACCTTGATCGAAGGCAATCTCGACGACCCCCGCGCTGTCTTCGCATCGGCCCGTGAGACTCTAACACCGAGCCAAGCACCCATCTCTGGCGTCTTCAGCGTGCAAACGCCCATGAGCGGAAACGAAGAGAAACAGGGCAAAGACCTCGTGGATGCGGCGTTGGAGAATGGGATCAAGCAATTCGTATACAGCTCTGTCGAGCGGGGAGCCGGGAGTCCGGCGACGGATGTGCCGCATTTTGCGCACAAACATCACATCGAGGAGCATCTCATGGAGAAGAGCGAAGGGGGCAGGATGGACTGGACCATTCTGCGACCTGTATGCTTCATGGACAATCTCACGCCAGACTTCCTCGGGAGGCTGTTCGTCACGGCTTGGAAACGCACACTGGATCCGTCCGACAAGCCGATTCAACTCATCCACACGCCTGACATTGGCGTCGTCGCCGCCGAAGCTTTTCTTCATCCCGAGGAGTATAGGAACCAGACGATGAGTCTCGCAGGCGATGAGATCACTTACGCCGAAGCTGACGCTGTGTTCAAAGAGAAAGTCGGGAAGGATATGCCGGTGACGTTTGGGCCGCTGGTTGGAGCGGCGATGTGGGCGATTAAGGACTTGGGGCTTATGTTCCGGTGGTTCAAGGATGAGGGCTTCGCGACTCCTGTGGAGGAATTGAAGGGGAGGTATAAGATGACGAGTTGGGCGGAGTATGTGGAGGGGAAGAAGGGTGGTTTTATTGCGAAGTGACATGTGAATGACTTATTTTTGAGCCAAGCTAGATGGTGCCAGATATATGTCAAAAGTGCCGAATGTGTATCAGGTGCTCTTAATGGCTGATTCTGGTTTCTTTTTGGCCACCAATGCTTGAGAGTAAGGTGCTTTTTGGGATACCCTCCCCCAGGGGGTCGAATTAAAGGGTGCGGCACACTCTTTCTTTAAGCTCGGCATGACGAAAAATTCATTGATGTGCATCCATTTACACGCATGCTTTATCTTTCAAAGAAAATAACTCCACAGAAAGGGGAATTGGACTCTTCATGAAAACAAGATGCATTATGTACAAAGGCTCGCAATCATCGGCGTGAGAGAGTTGCCATCTGCCGCTATCGGGATGTTACCAAGAGCACATACAAAGATACTGACTTCTGTTTCGGCGTTTGACAACGAAGTAACGATGCCGTTGCTTGTTGACGGAACAATTTCTTATGGTCATAAGAAAGTAGCATACAAGCGTTATCGAGTAGTAAGAAGGATGGTTACTGGGTCCAGCAAATCATTGTGCTAAAGATCAGAGCGGCCTGCGGCGGGCTTGAAGACGTACTCGTATATACTCAGTAATTCGTCCTTTCATAACAGTAATATAAAAACATTGAAAAATCAAATTATAGAACGTAGGATAAGATTTCTAGAGCTTAAAGAATCTTATTAATCGTAGTTGTATTGATAATGTTATACAGTGGAATAAAGTCTGCCCGAATTCTATAAGCCCCACGCCGCGTAACGGAGTGGGGGTAAGATCCGGGGGTGAGTTTTTGGGAGGGTACCCCCCATGACTCACCCCCGGATTTAGCGGATTTAAGACCGTGCATTACCAGGTAACGGGCACGGGTATCTACGAGTACTAGTACGTGTCTACAGATAGACATACACTCTTGTTCAGCGCAGTATCTCAATGACACACAGCAGGGTGTGCCTTTTTCTCCCTTTCTGTCTCAGCCGCTTTTAATAAGTCTTTCTCTCAGCGCCCTCCACTCCACATACGCGACACTGCCTCTCTCTGAGAATCCGAAAACGAACTCCTCAGTCCCTACGCCCCCGTACGTATTACCGTCTATTGATTCCCAGGTTTGGCACCATCCCATGCCAGATGACTGTGGCAGCGCCTCGAACGTGGCACGGAAGCTCATTCGCGACGTATATATACCTTTTTTGTCTACAGTCGTCGCGGTGGTCTTGAGCCCAGTCGGGTATAGCCGCACACTGAGTGTCTTGTTCGCGCCTCCGAGGCCTTGAGACTCTGCTATAAGCTGGAGCGGGGTACCGTTTATGGTGGTTGCATTGAAGAGGCCGAGGCCAGGGCGGTCGTCCGTTGCAATGGCAAAAGAAGTTTTGCTAGAATTACCAGGAGAAATATAGACCCTGGAGAAGCGATTAGAGGCTTGCTGTTGGGCTTCATGTTCTACTGCCGGCAGGAAGGTATCAATGAGTGAGTTCTTAAGCATCGTTCTTTCCGGACCGGATTCAGTACTAGCTACTAGGACGGTGATGCCGATGTTATGATCCGGCGAGAGTATCAAGCTGGATCTGTACAACCCGATATTACCTTCTTTGGTATTAAGATCTGTAACACGATTGTTGGGATCCTGTACGCGGAGTATCTCCCAAGGATGTCCGACGGATTGGTAAGGGTCAGAGGTGTGAGTTGCAGGATTTAATCAACGTCGGGTCTGAGCGGGAGAGAGAAGATTGCTTCTGAGAATAGAGCGGCCGGCTCGGGCAAAGCCGTTGGTACTCGTAAATATTGAGCCGGCACTCTGATCAAATTACTCGAATCGTAGATTGGAGGTACTTCAAGTGTAGCTGCGGCAGGCGGGTCCGATGCTGTGGACTGATGAGGGCATTGAACGAGATCGACTGCTCTGCTAACGGTCTGCTGGATCTGATTGGACTTGAGCTGGGGGCCCGAAGTCGTGTTCACGCTTGCCATGTTTGTAGAGTTCGGTGGGGAGGTCTGGAGCCAATTTTGAGATGCATCTTTCTCAAGTGGGCTGATAGGAAGTAAGGCTGGGACTTCACATAGCATTGTAGCAGGAGATGATACTGCTAATGGGTTCGAATGTGGCAGGAAGTCGCTGAGTTGTGCGTGAAGTGTTGGCTGCTACCGCAACAGCCTTACAGACTTGGCGTCACGTGAGAGAATGAATATCGTAAGAAATCCTTGGATCCTCATTGAAACATTACGTATATATAGATATTTCGGAGGTTCCCGAGTTTATCGACTAAGACTCTTCTCCCTTATGAACCCTAAACTCTATGCGTCAGTTCCTATTCCAGCTCAATGTCACATCTTCGACTTACAGCTTGCCAACATTGCACAGCAAGCTATGCCCAGTGAGAATGTAAACCCGTTCCTCGTCGAACTGGCATAGCATTGCCGGACAGCTTCTCGCACTGCTGGCTCCAAAGTCTTGACATAGTCCAAGCTCTCTCGTACTCTCTTCACGATATCGTCCGCGTCATTTCCGCTTAGATGTTCCCGCAGTTGGTTCTTTAAAGATTGCTGAACGACGCTGGCAGTTAAAGACAAGACTACAACGGAACCAAGAGACCGGAATAAGTACGAGCACGCTGTCGCAATGGCCTGATCTTCTGGTGCAGCATTGGCGATCAGCCCGATTAGGGTAGTGGTGGTTCCGATTCCAAGGCAGAAACCACCCATGACGAGTCCAACCGAGATACCATACGTATTGTTGACTACCAATCCTGTGCACAGGATGATCAGGAGGGTTCCGAAGGTCGAGGTTGAATATGCCAGAACAGTGAGCCAATAGTACTTTCCCGTCCTCTGCATCAGGAGGCCACCAGAAAGAGATCCCGAGACGGCAGCGACAACATTTGGTAGAAGCCTCACCCCAGCTTGGGTAGCAGAGAACCCATCAACGGCCTGGTAGAAGAGTGGAATATAGAAGAGTACTGTCATCCATCCTCCGAACGCGAAAAAATTGCAAAGGTAGCAGGCCACAAGGCTCCTTTTGAAGATGATGCGTCCAGGCGCAAATGGTTCGGCCGCCAGCTTGAGCTCGACAACTATAAAGAGAAGGAACAATGGGAATGAGATACAGAGCGAAGTGATGGTGATTGGGGCCGACCAGGAGTCATTTGAACCTCGATCCAATCCAAGGAGCAGGAGGAAAATCGCTGCTACGAGCAGGAAGGCGCCTAAGAAGTCAATTCGCCGCAATTTGGTCTTCCAGTCCGAGGATTCTTGCTCGGGAAGTTTTAAGACAAGAGCAACGCTGAGAAAAGCTGCAGCACACATTGGTGCTTGTGCCAGGAAAGCCCTTGGTGGTGTTAGCCTACGACAATCGAGAAGCTGGGGTCCACATACCATCGCCAACTGACTTGGTCCGCCAACAGACCGCCTACTACGGGTTAGTATACAGCTTCCATCGGAGGACAGCGAACACGTACCGAGTGGTGCACCGCAGCCAGCCCCTGAGGCATAGATGATGTTGATTATCCCTTGCCAGGTCCCTCTCTCTCGAAGCGGTACGATGTCACTCAGTATGATCGAGACAACGGTCGTCATTCCTCCACCACCGATACCTGCAAAGGCCTTAAGGCATATTTCAGCCCCGCCGAAACCTAGCCCTCCATTGTGTATCTTACTCTGGCAGCAATGAGTTCGTTCATGTTCCTCGCTAAACCACACCAGAGACAACCGAGGCCAAAGATCGCATAGCCGAAGAGAAGGCAGGACTTTCTTCCGAAGATGTCGCTCATCTTTCCGTACAGCGGTTGGAAGGAGCTCAGTGTGAGGAAGTAGCTATGCTCATAAAGCATCAGCTGTAAACTTAAGAGGTCTTGGAGTACTGAGTGGGAAGGCGCTCACGCTGTGGCAATCCATGAAGTATTTTCCAACGACTTCAAATCGCTACCAATTTTCCCATAACAGGATACGATAATGGTCTGGTCTGCAGCTGAAAGGAATATCTAGAGAATGTCAGGTCGTGAATTCATGCAACGATGAAGAAGGCCTTACACCAATCCCGATTGCTGGCACGATGTACCAGAGCTTCGCTTTCACATCTGGCATGCCTTCATATTGGTGACCTCGATCCTCGCCGTTGGTTTGGCTTTCCTCATCCTCCGCAGGCTTCGCGTCTCCATTTGGATGCCCAGTGGCCCCAATTTCGCTGGGAGGCACACTGTTGGGAGTGAGACTAGGATCTGGCAAAGCAGCGGTGGGGTTTGCCAGCAGAGGAGAGGTCTCCGTGGCCTCTTGATGCTGCATCGCGGGAGACTTTGGAGCTCAATAGCTCTGTCCCCTTCTGAAAAATGCTCTAAGGTGCCATCTTAGAGGAGGCTCGGTTTCACTGATGGCTCCGGAGGTGTCGTAGCATGTTTTAGAGACGTTGCCATGGCGGGATAGATAACCAGAACTTCATAGGGAAGGTTTCCCGAGTTGACCAATCTGTCACGTGCCACAGCAATCACGATGTTGACCATTCATCAATGTCTATATTGCTCTCTACTTCTACATGATTTGTGCTCTCAATATATCAAACGAGTATTCTCTTTACACTATCTAACAGTAGTAAATCTTATAACGGCCCACACTATCGATACAGCAGTAGTCAACTACCTGGTCTTGCCGCGATGGTTTACTGATGAATTCTACAAGCTGACTGTAAAGCATGTGTCGATGAAAGAATCTCATCTGGGACAACATTAAAGACGCCAGAGTCAACTGCACAGTGACTGGCAAGTGTGATATTGTCTACTGAAGCAGTGTTACTAGAAGAGGGTAATGAAATTGTTCTCGACGTGGATAATGTCATCTTGCTCATGCCTAATCCCGGTTGACTTCCTTCTCTCTTGATGCTACTTTCTCTCACCCAAAAAGGTTCGACCTTTTGTGCCGCCTTGATAACCAGACCAGATCTATTCGAAAAACTTCTTTATCACTCTCAGTTGCATCACAATGCTTACAACTTTCTCGTGTGCTGTGGCAATCAAGGCGAGCCTTGGCCCTGGTGTAATGGCTTGTGGATTGACTTCAGTAAGATTTATATGTATTTTGATGAAAGCGAGCCACTCTGTGAAGCCTGATAATCCGTCAATCAGCGCTCTTTCATGGGTAGGGTAGAGCCTGTGCATATTGGTAGAAACACCCACGTGATGCAAGTATCTAAAGACGTCTTAGTAAGTAGCATTACTAGCTGCAGCAGACATGTTAAAGCTTTTGGAACGCTTTGTTGTTGGAGAGTATCTGATTTCGAATAAGCAGAGATACGTTTGACGTGTTTCAGCTGTAATCCCAGCTTTCCCCAGTCTGAGTTGCTGGAATCGCTTGGACCTTCTGCACCCTCCCCAATGAGATAGGACATGACCTCTATGATTCAGTCTAGAGCAAGCAGCTACCCGTCTTTATATGTCGGTGTCTCAGATCTACTCCAGACCTGGATCTCCATCTGTGCTCCACCTGAAACGCTTAAAAGAATCTCATGTCTTGGACAGCTGCACGTGTGTATTTAATCTGAAGTCTTTGTTGTGCAATGGATCATCCTCACAAACTTGTTCCAGTCGGTGTGACTATTCTATGTATGAGAACGACCCACCTTCGCTCTTTAATAGTTCTTCAGACCACTTTCATACCCATCCGCCAGACACCACAGGGTAAGAGACATTCTTCGCACATCAAATCTATTACTATTCGACTAGCGTTCAATTGTCCGAAACCAAGAACAACTAAAATGGACAACGGTACTCAAACCTACGCAGACCCCGAGCACAACAAAGTACTAACCTCGACATTGTCCAGAAATGAAACGCCGGACACAGTGGCGATGTGCGTAGACAAATACAAAATCCTCCACATATTCGATGTCTGCAAATTCTCTCCATTGTATGATTCGTTGAAAACTGGTATCGACCTTGAACCAAATGTTCCAGGAAAGTCTGCTTATAATCTCGTCATGAGCATATGCGACCATGCAGTAACAACTCCAGGAACAATGCGTTTCAAGCAAAACCAGGTGCCGAGTCGCCAATTGTATGACCTTCCTCGCTCTAGGCGTCTCTGCCCAATCCATGCAACTCAGTCTCTCCATTCCCATCGCCCGCAGTCCTTCCATCGCCACATAATGCCCTAGGTACATGTCGGTCGGTCGGCCAAAGTGCTCAGACTCTCCATTGTCGCCAGGGAAGTCTGGACCTGGCAACCCTTGCAACAAGGTGTCTCGCTGGCGACGAAGATACTCCGCGTTTCCTTCAGTGACGGACAGATTGGAATATACATGACGCTGGAATCGGACTTGCCCATGTGCACTTTATCAACAGCGTGGATTGCTAGAAGAGTGATAGTCAGCGCTGGCGTGGTCTGGTGAATAGGAAAGGATTACGGGACACTCACTGTCACATAGCCATACAACAGCGCCACCAGCCTTGATGTCGGGAATGTGCACCATCGTCTTCTGCAGGTCAAGTTGCGGGTGTAGCACTTGGTTCATTTCTTAGGCGTAACCAGGATTTGCGCCTTGAAGACCATTCGTAATTCCAGACGCGTTCTTCAACATCCAATAATCAGGGTCCAAGAACTCTGCGCTATAGTGACCGGCAACTGGCGTCACAGCTTGCGCTCTCGGTGCAAAAAAAGACATCAGCAAACAATACGCCGTAGAAAGATGCAACAGTGGATTGACCATCAGCGTTCCCTCGTTCGGGCCCGTCCGGGACATGGTCAACCATCCTTGGAACACGGGGAACATCAAACATGCTCCAGCCCCACTGTAGAGGTCGCTGATCACTGGCACACTGCAAGATGCCTCTCATGGATCATACTCTTCTCATTTGCCCTGCCAGATCTGGTCGTACACACAACCACGGCCATAGCCTTCCGGCTCCAATCGCTCAACGCTGCCTAAATGAACATGAGGCCCAAGTGCGAAATCGTTGTCATCTGGTTGACGAATTCGTACATGGTCGGCGTAGGAGAGTGAATGGTTGCGAAGTAGAGATCAATGCATCTTCTCTACTTGGATGCCAGAAGTTCATAAGGGAATGCTGAGCTACAATGAGGTTCTTTTGTGGTTGTGCTCGGACCTGCGGCGACGACCAATAGGGCTCAAACACCTGTGAATCAGGGGAAGGGAAAGCTGGAGCCATGAATCACATCAGTACGTTTGCGTCTCAAATCATGTGCAAGTGGCCCTGGTGCACAGAAACGGGGACCGTACCTTTAGTGCAAAAGTTGGCACACATACTCCTCAATTTCGTCTTCACCTTTGTGAGTCGCGACTGTTCGTGTGGAACTTGAACTGATCTCGAAAGTAGATGGGGTTTTAGCGATGCAGAATGTCTACGGACGAACATGATGGGTTCATTATAGTAGAATCGAGAAGTCCTCTTCGTTGGAAGGAGTTTCGCAAGTCTCCGTAGGGTGCTTGATAGTTGGGAAAACGCTCACGCAAGGCAAGCAGCAGATTCGAAACCCTCTGTATATGAATCTTGTGGAAGGAAGTATTCGAAATGTTTCTGATTTTCACACTGACTCCAACCAAGCTATCGCGAGCTGAAAAGTATGGAGAAAGAAGAGTTAGCGCCCGACGACTGGGCGGTGTTGATGACTATTTGTCCAACCATCCCAAACAGCTCATGTCCATCGACAGACGTGTCACTAATGCTACCTCGGGTCCTGTTGACACTACGGCTCGTTCGAGTGAACCTTCGCCATAGAAAGAAGCGTCCACCACGGTTTCGGATGGGTAGACGACTCAGGGTTGCTACCCTGGGTTCTGGTCACGATCGTTCGTTCGCTATCTCAACACTGTGAAACCAAGCGTCCACCACCATATCGGATGGATAAAGTACAAGGAAAGCCGCCCATGCGTGATTTCGGAGAAATCACCTTAGCCCTCTGCGACGTCCATATAATTTCAGCACATCTGGTGGGAATAGAGATGACATAGCATATCGGCCTTCGTTGTCAAGCCGAAGGCTTGGAAGACCTTGCCTTCTAGACCGTCATCCACCTGGCGGATGTGGCGCTGTGAGTCGCCGAAATGACGGCAACACTCGAGGAGTTCTCAGATTTCGAGGATCTTCCCAAAACGGTACCTCAAAAACGTATCGACCATACTCCTCCGAGCTGGCCTCGACTCGGAGTCGCGGGAGCGGATGAGCTAGTCCAGTCACTCGAGAGACTTTCGATAGTGCAGAAGGCGGTGGAGGACGAAACTGCGATGGGACTTATGTGATGCTTCAAAGTGTTTGTTGGCAGCAGAGTTGAGACGAGGCCATTGTTGGCCGCCATTAGAGTGTAGATATTCGAATATCAAGAGCATTCAGTGGGATGTCGTGCGTCTTCCAGCCGACCATCGGATATCTTTCCTCCATATTTCGTACCATGACTCCTCCCCCCTTCCTTCCTTTCAGACCTTAACTACGTCACAACTTTGCCCTCTCTGCTCCTTCCACCACCACCTCCACCCCTTGCACATCCACTTCCTGACAATCTTCGTCCCCCCTCCCACTCACATGCTGCACCACCACAAAATCCACCCTCCCTCCCACCACAACCATAGGTGCATGCCACGTCCCCACTCCATACGTGACGCCCATACCCGGCTCTGCCATAAAGGCCTTCAGATTCTTTAGATCGGGCGGCCCGCCTTGTTTCGATTGAAGCTGTGGAGAGTAGGGCGTTAGGTTTGGGGGCGAAGGCGGGGGAGGAGGAGGGGTGGGAAGGGTGGGTGCGACAATGATGATGGATTTGGTGGTAGAGGTGATGACTGAGGAAGAGGGGGAGGAGGTAGCGAGGGGTATGAATGTTTGCGTAGTGAAAGGATGTCGTTCTAGGACTTTGACGTCGAAGATTTGCCGGCCATTGGATGTGCGGAGAGCTCGTGAGAAGCAGGAGAAGAGACTCATAGACGGCTTGGCGAGGGCACCACTCGGAGAGGTATGGTAAATGGATGTGACAGGTGCTATGTCGGGGAATTTGAGGGCGGTGCCTTGGTTTGCGGAGATGGAGCCGCGGGGCGGAGGGGTTGGTGGGGTCGTGGTAGCGGAGGAGAGTGGGGAGATCAGGACGGTGCCGAAAGGTGCGAAGGCGGAGGGCGTGAGGGGAACAGTATCAACGGTGATGGTGGATGAGGGTGCCATTGTTGGGGGTTTGTAGAATGGTTGGGCCTGCGATGCGCCATGCCGGTAAAGAATACTCCGTTATGATACCATTTCGAGTAATCTTACGGCCACCCAAGTAAAAAATGTTCTAGGAAGAATACGTTATATTCTTTTATTGATTGACATATGTTATTTCTATCTAATGTGATTATTTTTACATATAATATATACACATACAGACAACCTACTCTCGCAGCTTCAGATGATAAGTTTGAAGATCATCTTCAGTCATTGGACCTGGACTCTTCACCATGAGATCATCCCCCTTGCCGCTTTTGGGAAAAGCGATCACATCCCTGAGAGTAGTCTTCTTCTCCGTCCTACTGGCATGGATCATAGCGACCAGCCTGTCAAACCCTAGTGCAATCCCAGCATGAGGCGGACAGCCCGACCTGAGAGCTTCCAGCAGATGGGAGAATTCCGCAACACGCTCGTTGTCCATCTTGAGGATATCACGCATGACGAACTCCTGCATTTCGGCATGATGGATACGTCGGCTGCCTCCACCAATCTCTTCTCCGTTGATTACCAGGTCGTAATGGTCTCCAATAACTTGGGAAGGGTCTGTTAGCAGCAGATCCACGTCCCTGGCCGTTTTCGGTGAGGTAAAGGGGTGATGGGTAGATGCCAGACCAGCGTTACCACCTTGGCCAGGTTCAGAGGAGTTGGAAGGTGAGAAAAGTGGGAAGTCGGTGATCCAGACTGGACTGAAGTCCTTCCAGCCGGGTGGTGAAAGGGTGGTGAGAGCTTTGTAGATTGCGTTGCGCATATCGCCTAGCGCTGTAGATCCACCACTCAGTGGAGCATTCTCGCGAGCTTGTAGAATGACTATACAGCCATCCTGCAGGCCAAACATCCTCTCTAGTTCTTCGACAGCTTCGAAGCCAAAGGCAGACAGGCCCTGAAGGGGCTTGCCGGAGTCGTAGATGAAGATGCCAGGACCCCCTGCAGGATTGTCAAGGAATTGTTTGTTATCTGGGGAGTCGAGGAAGCCACGAATGAAACCACGGATAGTCTCTGTCGGGCCTTCACCTGGAATTATCATTACCTCGACTATAGGTTTCATCAAGGACGTTATCTTGCCAACCAGATCGGCTGGTAAGAGATGGTCGATTCTGGAAAATGGCTGTATCGGAATGCGCAAGTCGGGCTTGTCTGAACCGTACCTCGACATCGCTTGTGTATAGGTCATGCGAGGGAAGGGTTTCGGAAGCTCAACATCTAGGAAGCGTTTCCAAACCGTGCGTATGAGTTCTTCGACGACTGCTATCACATCATCCGCTTCCGCGAAGGATTTCTCTATATCCAACTGAATAATACCAAGTTAGCTTGCATCAGCTAATGACTTCCCAATGGGCATTGTTACCTGAGTAAATTCAGGCTGCCGATCAGCCCGTAAGTCCTCGTCACGAAAGCATCGAGCAAATTGGAAATACTCTCGAATCCCACTCGCCATGAGGATCTGCTTGAATTGCTGAGGACTCTGGGGTAATGCATATGCCAATCCTTTCCTCCTTGTAGGTACGATGAATTCTCGTGCACCCTCAGAAGTGGATTTGAATAGAAGTGGTGTTTCCACCTCAAGAAACCCAAGCTTCGAATGGAATATTTCTCTACAGAGGTATGCAATATCGCCACGAAGACCGAGAGCGCCAGAAATGTGCTGATTCGTCCTGATCTGGAGGTGGCGCTGCTCGGGGGAGAACTCGGAATCAGGCGTCACAATAAAATCGGATGGTAAGTCATTGAGACTTGTTATATCGCACAATTTGAGTTCAAAATCATCAAGTGTCCATGTTGATTTGCTTGATGGGGATTGGCGGTTTCCCGGTTTGGGCCCAAAGAAGCCCCTGAGAGCCACTGGCGTATTTGCCTTTATGGACTTCAGCTTCTCATGAACGTCTTGATCTCCTTCTCTCGGAAAATACGGGGTTGCAACGATCTGGACTCGTTTTTTATACGCTGTATCGAAAAGAGTCACAAAGGATAGCTTTTTGGACAAGTCGGAACGTGGACCAAGGTAACCATGCAACACGACTTCTCTTCCAGGAGACCCAGTTACGTATTCTTCTGAGATGTTCCATACCTTATTATCAGCTTTGGGAAGGCTTACTATGAATGATGTTGATAAGCATCAATGTACGGAGCAAGGTACGGCTAGGGCCGGTACATACGGGATCTTTTAAACTTGTCAATAAATGGTGGCCTACTTCCCACCACTGCATTCTCGTGAAGAAGACAGGAAGACTCGTGCAGCGAGCGACATCTCTGCTGAGCTCGTTCTAACAGGCATCGATGCGAGACATTTGACTGACGAAATAGTACATCCTTAAACACCCCTGTATTTGACAGTCGAACGAAGTTCGACACCTCCACGTAGCTAGACCGGACATTGTGGCATGCTCGCGTGGACATAGAGCTGTTGATGGTTTTCGTCAAGCTAGTGGAGACAACCAATGGCTCTGACTAGATTGACTTTGGTGTCTAGATCTTTGTTTTTAGAGAGCATTGAAAGTCCGAGCTACGTCGTGATAACGAGGTCAAATCCAGGGTTGCCGGTTGAGTGAGTTTTGTGTCCGACGCTCCTACTATTGCTGGAAGGGTTTGAGAAGTCTGTCGTTCGTAAATAGCGCGGGAAATTTGTCTTGGCAACTGTGGGGAGCTAATTTTAGCGTGTGCAGAAAACGTTGGAATACTTGGCACTGAGATTCTCACACACACCCCACCAAAAGTAGTACTGAATAGATGAATCTTCTCCCATATCGCATTCTACCACCTTCCTCATCATATTTGAAGCTCCTGTATATCTCGCTTAGCCGATCCTTGGTGTTTTGCCTTAGTGTTTCGAAATGCCTCCCAATCGACGCAGTCAGGGCCCCCCTACCGACCTCCCCTCCGGCCAGACAGTCCAAGAGGCCTAAGAAGGCGTCCTCCCGTGCCCAAGCGATTGCTGAGGATAGCCAGCCGGGCCCCAGCAACAGTCAGCCAAGCGCAGCTACTCCCGCTCCCAGACCTGAAAGCCCTCATGCCAAAGCCGCCTGTGAACGTCCGGCCCTAAAAGACAATTGGCTAAGCGAGATATACAGGAGCTTCAAATATGATGAGGAAGGTGGTAGAATGCGATATGGGAGAAGATTCATCTACTCAGTACTACTTTTGGTGGGGTGTGTGTGAGAATCTCAGTGCCAAGTATTCCAACGTTTTCTGCACACGCTAATTTCCTAATCAAGCTCTAGTGCATCTTTGCCCGTGTTCCAAAATTCCTCCGCACGAAGGAATCTTTTCTTTCTACATCCTTCCAAGTTTTGAACATGTGAGTCGATGTCCCATCCACGAATTACCAATGAAGCTAATACCTGTTGCAGATGATGAAAGCCTAGAGTGTACCATATGACAAGCTTCCTTCTGATCTGGCATGCGGCTCTCCCTTCACCGGGCTCGAGTGGCTGCTTGTTGGTGACAAAGGGAGTATGAAATCGGCGTTCGGCACACACACCTTGTTACTTCACGGACGCGATGAAGGCATTTCTGATCCTCAAACCTGGAAGGTGTCCTACCATGGACTACATACTGCACGTTCCATCCGCGATTTGGGGCGTTGAAGTGCAAGTCCTGCACAAGAGTTTTATCACCAGCACGCCATGTACATAACGCAATGCATATCCTTGTCAACCTCTTTCTCAAGGCCAAGGTCAATCACATCTCCGTCATCTCTTGCCTATTCCCGCCTTATGTAAGATCTGGAATCATGGCCGTAGGCGCACTAGATGCTCAGCTCAAGCGATACTGAGGGTCAAGATTGCTGCGCGGCAGATTGAGCACAGCGCTGTCAACAGTCCATCATTTCCTGACTACCGATAGTCTCTACATGACTGAACGGACGTAACAACAACGCAACATCTCTGCCTGCCCATTCGACACAACAGAAGATACTTCCATATTTGAGCTCGTCCTCCATAGATTTGACACTGAAACCTCTTCGAGTATCGGAAAATAATATAGAATGCGTGTTATCCTGTCCGAGAAATCAAAGGAGTTTAGAGATATGTAGAAGAAACAATAGTAGATCCGCGGGGACAGCGCCAAGCATCCATTGTCATCCGGCAGGCTGGGCCCCGAATCAGCATACACAAGAGAAGTCGTTCTCGTTGCCACAACTTTAACAGTTCGTTGATGCCACGTTGTAATTGATGCAACGGTAAATAGTTCAAGCGCACCAGGACGACGGCCCTATACGCCTGCTCTAGCGCCCTGCCACCAACACGTGCGCTTCTGATAACTTCCACTGGAGGTACACTCGGACCTAGCAAACAACTTCACAGTGACGACAGCATGACCCCGTTACCGGGGCTTTCGCGATAGCTTCGGTGGAATGCCCGAAAGCCTTCCAACTCCACCTCCAAGACTAGCAGTCTTGCTGCAAACAGCCAAGCCCGCACTTGTCGTTGCGACGGGTGCCCATCTGCCATGTCTGGATCTTTCGAAAAGTCGGTCAAAGGCGGGACGAAGATCAAGGCGAGAAGACCCGTCACGCAGTGCCGCGATCCCTTTGTTGACCTCTAGAGATAGCTCGCCCCACCCAAGGCCAAATATGTCGAACATATCCTAGTCGCAACCCACGCTGGAGAAGCCGGAGTCGCCGAGATCTTTCGAGCCCTACAGAACCGCCTCAGAGATTCAACATGGACAATAGTCTTCAAATCACTAATCATAGTGCATCTCATGGTACGAGAAGGGGAACCCAACGTGACGCTGAAATACGTAGCGGAGTCGCCTTCGAAGCTTGCCATAAGCAATTTCTCAGATGGTACGTCTAAGGAGTATAAGATGGTATCTGCACGGGGGCCGACAGAATGTGGGTCTACATGTTTGTAAAGAGATGGGGCTTTCCCTCACAAGAATCCTACGACTTGAGACTGTGCTAATGGGTGTGAGAGGTTAGTGCAGGTCCAGGGAACCAATATCCGGCATTACTATACCTATCTACTGGCTCGAGCAAAGGCGTACAAAGATACCAGAATAGATTGGGTCAGGGAAGGTCCTACTCGATTAAAGAGACAGACCATAGACAAGGGTCTACTGAGGGAGACGGAAGCTGTGCAGAGTCAAATTTCAAAGCTGCTGCAATGTGATGTGGGTGCTACTTGTTCGAGTCTCGGTACATCGACAGAGGGACACTGACCGCCTTGATAGCTCCTTAATACGGAGGCGGAAAATGAGATCACCGTATGCGCGTTTCGTTTGCTGACTATGGATCTCTTGATACTCTACGGCGTTATGAACGAAGGGACGATCAATGTTCTCGGTACGAACCTTCGTAATCAAAGCGACGAATTGCTGGCTAACGTAGGCCGGTCAGAGCATTACTTTGAAATGTCCAAATACGATGCAGAAAGAGCTCTAGCTATATACAAGACGTTCACTAAGCAGACCAACCTGGTCGTGGAATTCTTGAGCACAGCTAGACAGTATGAGAATGCAACACGACTAGAGATTCCGAAGCTTAAACACGCTCCGACCAGCCTGACTTCTTCTCTGGAAGAATACCTCAAAGATCCAGATTTTGAGATCAACAGACGGCAGTATCTGGCACAGCAAGATGCGAAGAAGGGGAAGAAGAGCACAAGCAATGGGGCGTCAGAGCCTGTGGATGGGTTTTCGAAACTTTCATTGAACAAAGGTGGAGCAAGCAAAGCGCTCCCCGAGCTGAAACTTGCATCACAGCCAGCTCCAGCAAAACCAGAGGCGAAAGGTCCGGCTCCGGATTTGATAGACTTCTTCGATTCAATCGAGCAGAATCAACAACCTATGGCTTCAACGCCTCAGCAGCAAATGCTCAACTTCCAAACGGGACCTCAGTACCAACAACAGCAGGCAATACCACAGCAGACGGGAACTACTGTTCCACAACATAACTTCTTTGCACACACCGGGCAGCAGCCGCAACCACAAAACGGCGGGAATTCCGGCAGTGCAAACCCATTTGGGCAACCTCAAGCACAACAGGCTGTGCAGCAGAATTTTAGTGAAGCCGGCTTCGGCGGTTACAGCCAGCAGCCATTCGCACAACAGCAGGACCTCTTCTCAAGCGCACCACAGAACAGTACCTCGCAGTTTCCAACATCTCAACAGCAGTTCAATACAGGTGAACCCTCCTTTGGTCCTCCGCAGCGATCCTTTACAACGCCGCAATCGTTTGCCCCACAACAGACAGGATTGTCAAACCCGTTCCGACAATCTATGATGCCCCAACCCACAGGAGTTTCGAACTCTTCCTACCAGAATGCTGGACCTGTTGCCTCACCATTACAACATCAATCCACCAATCCTTTCGCCCGTAGCATCTCCAATCAACCCACGGGCCAGATGCAAAATTCTCCATTCGCATCTCAGCCGCCTGCACAAGGATCACCATTCACTTCGCCACCACCCCAACTACAGCAAAACATCCCCTTCACCTCGCAACCTGCGCCCCAACCTCAACAACAACCATCTCCAAATAATCCAGTCACGCCTCATCGAACAGGGACGAACCCTTTCGCGCGCACCGCATCTCCACCTGCAGCATCACCATTAGTGCCCAACCAGACCGGTACCAATCCGTTCCGGCAGAGCGTCTTTATAAATCAGCAAACAGGACAAGGCTGGCAGGCGGGTCAGGGCACGATGGGCGGATTCGAGCAATTAGGCACTGTTCCTATCTTCCCGAGGCCGGGGCAATCGCAGCAACAGCAGGGAGCCTGGCCCTGATGGCCTTGATGAATCTCTTCAGCATTATGAGTGGTGCATTGAGCGGGCGTTTTATGGTGAGGGTAATCATATTTGAGATCCCATGTAATGATACACGAGCTGGTCTATGAGCCAAGCTCAGAAACACACATATGAAATGCCTAAAATGGCACACATATTATCATGTATGGAGCGCCCGTTTTGCTTAGGCTATCAATGAGCCCCAGCATACCATTATAACATGCCCTTAATGCATGATTTTAGTGCTAAGATTGTCCGTAGATCATCTACCACCCAAACCACCCACTAATGGTATCACCCACCGTCGCCTTCCCCTCCTCTCTCCTGCTCTTCCTCAGCCCAATAATATCCGACACCTGCCTCCCCGTCTCCCTCGCCGCCTTCGCGTCCATCACCAGCCCCTTCTCCTCCAACTCCCTCTCCGTCGGCGTCATACCCTTCAACCGCTGCCTCAACGCAGCCTGCGTCTCCGCCGTCAGCAGCGCTTGCGTTTCCGGCATCAGGGGCGGCAGGTCGTCTTTCTTCGCCGCCGCTGCTGGTGCTGGTGATGGAGCCGGAGTCGTTGGTCCCGCGGCAGGCGTTGTGGATCGCGACACCGAGGCGAGGATGGGGGCGAATTGGGGTTCGGGCAGGCCGGCGGCTTTGGCTTCGGCGGCGGCGGCTTCCTGCGCCAGCATGCGGTGGTAGAGGGTGTCGGCGTGCATCTGGATGGCTTCGTCGACGGATTCGGGCCGCGAGTAGGTGGAGAGGTAGCCGAGGGCTTTGAGGAAGCGCTGGACGAGCGAGTATTAGCGTTCTATCACCCAGCCCGGGGTTTTTCTCTTTTGAACAGTCCGTTGATGGAGAGGTGCAGGGCATACCGATTGCATGATGTAACATCTTTCAAACGCCCGGTTTTCCCCCCTGCACATCATCAATTTGTCCCTCCACCGCCCCGTGTCGTAGCAATCGTTCACGGCCAACTGCTCCTCGACGCAGTTCTCCACCGCCGCCCGCCCTATTTGCGCTTTTCGCTCTTTGTAGCCTTCGAGTATGTCGAGGAGTTTCTCTTGGTCGGATTTCGATTCGGCTTCGATGGCCGAGAGGGACTTGTAGGTCGTCCAGAGGTGGGCGTAGCGGCCGTCGGGGTAGAGGGATTCGGGGGGGACGACGGGGGTGGAGGAGGGTTCTGTTTTGGTGGCGGACGCAGGGGTGGTGGTTTCCGGAGGCGGAGCTGGGGGAGGTGGAGCGGGCGTGTATTTTACGGGGGATTCTTTGGAGAGGAAGTCCCGTAGGCTGGGGTCGAGGTCGCGGAGGGGGTCACTGTCGGAGGATTTGGGAGGGTCGGACTTGCCCCAGAGCCAGCCCATGGTTGGCCGGGGTTGGGGATGCAATTGGTCGTTGAGGGTGTGAAGGGAGGGCGGAGAGTCGAGTGCCAAGACATCTGTCAGTCATCACGTGACCTAGACGACCGAGATGATTTTCAGCTTTCCTCACTTGGAGCGCGGCACGAGTACGTACAGAGTACCTCAGTCATATCTGCTCTACTAAGAACGTCAGTAGGTGATCGAGCGATCCATACGCAAAGTTACGTCGTTATAGGTGTTTCTTGACGAACAGTCCATACCGTTTGATACGTGCTTTACAGTACTTGCTTATTACTTGTATCTTTGTCCGCCAAGAGTTTTGCGGGAGATGGACATGATTCACAGGGGTTGCGATGGCCCCTGTTGCTCTGATGGAAATCTTTTGATTAATAATACCCGCGTGAGTCATACATCTACGAAGCTTCGTTTAAAGAAAGAAGAAGTCGTCTCCAGTGGAATGTTGACTTTAGGAACCGACCGCCCTTCCAAGTAATGAAGAGTGACCATGGTGCCAGAACCATACCAAATCTCAGTATCAGATGAGGTACTCAAGGACTTGAAGCAACGTCTCTCAACTGCCAAGTTCCCTGATCAGCTTGAGTACGCGGACCAGGATGTCTGGCAATTTGGTGCGCCCGTTGCTGATATACGTCGACTTGCGAACTACTGGAAAGAAGGCTTCGATTGGAGGAAAGCGGAAGCGACGTTGAATGAATTGCCAAATTACCAAACCAAGCTGGACGTTGACGGTTTCGGCGATCTTGATATTCATTGTAAGGCATCCTCCTCGAACACTGTTTGACATTGCTGTTGGCTAACGAGAGTGACTTCGAGTCGTTCATCAACCATGTACCAAGAGAGGAGCTATTCCACTTTTGTTTTCTCATGGATGTAGGTATTGCCACAGGAGCTTTTACGCCGTCTCCTTCTCGGTTTTGCCAGCTTCAATTGACGGACGCTATTAGGGCCAGGATCATTTATTGAGGTAAGGAAGTTATTGCCTTTCCTCAACGGAGACGGAAATGCCCCTGGATTCCATCTCGTAGCGCCCTCACTACCCAATGTAAGTACGGATTCGTCAAACAAATGACCCTGCCGGCAAACCACTCCGCCATCGTAAATTCCCGTTCAGCATTAAGGAGGGAAGCTGAGCTAAACCTTCAGTTCGGGTTTTCCGACGGCATCAACAAGAAAGGGTTTACACTCACGAAGTACGCCGAAACATGTCACAAGCTGATGCTTCAGCTTGGGTACGATCAATATGGTAGGCTGCCCTCTGACTGTCCGGTACATCATACCTGATATTTTGATAGTCACACAAGGCGGAGACTGGGGATTTTCAGTGACGCGAGCGATCGGCCTGCAATACCCCGACCATTGCAAAGCGTCCCACATCAACCTGGTCCTCGGACAAGCCCCAAAACTCGCTCAACAACCGCTCCTGGCCCTCCAGCACGCCATATCCCCGTACAACGCTCGCGAAAAAGCGGGACACGAGAGATCAGCATGGTTCATGAATGAGGGTTATGGATACAACCTCCTTCAGAGCACCAAACCCCAGACCGTCGGCTACGCACTCGCTGACAGCCCCACCGCCCTCCTGGCCTGGATTTTCGAAAAGCTGCACGACTGGACCGACGGCTACCGGTGGACCGACGACGAGATTCTGACATGGGTATCGATCTACTGGTTTTCGAAAGCCGGACCCGCAGCGAGTGTCCGGATCTATTACGAAGCTACCCACCCTGAACCCTTCTCGAGCATTTCGACACCCACGCTGCGCGGATGGATTCCGCATGTTAAATTGGGCGTTGCACATTTTCCGAGAGAGATCACCGTCGTGCCGAAGACTTGGGCGCAGACGCTCGGTCCAGTGGTTTTCCAAAGTGAGCATGAGAAGGGTGGTCATTTCGCGGCGTGGGAGAGGCCGGAGGCTATCGTTGAGGACTTGCGGAAGATGTTTGGGAAGGGTGGGCCTTGCTACGGCGTGATACCGGGAAAGTCTGGGTATTAGGTGCGAAGGTGGGTCTATGACGAGGACGACGATGCAGAAGGGCATTGGCTTTCAGATAGTGTCTCTTGATATATTTACAAGAGATTCCTTCCCTTTGTTCACTGCCCGACTTGGATCAAAGGCACGACGAAGGGTGACCTGGATGCGATAGCTAACCGGTGCGCACTTGTTGCGGTCTTTTGCCAACATGTGGGCGATGAGAAGTTGTGGTCGGATTTTTGTCAAAACTTTTACGGCACTATCAGTTGTGGTGTAGGACAACGAACGCCTCCAGAGCATCCCTTCAGCGCAACTGGTTCGTCTCATTGAGCAGAAAATGTCTTTGCGTGAACAATTTCTTTGTCTGAATCGTTCCTTTGTCTCTGCCCCATCGATTCACTGGTCTATATCTATCCATATCCCTCTTGCGTTTTCTCATCCTGCAGACGCCACTCAGAAGGAATAATACAACTCATCTTCCACCTCAGCATCCCCCAAACATGTCTCACAACCCGACCGACATTCGTCCGGACGAGGAAGCTCTTGCGGCCTTGCTCATAATCGCGGCCTTGAGCTTCGCGGAAGCCTCTTCGCGGTCGCGAAGACAGCTGCAAAGCGCTTCGTTGGATCCATCAGTAAGAAAGACGCGTGTGGAAGTCAGGTTGAGCAGGGGCATGAACAGATGAAGGGGCAACGTCGTGTTGCAGATGATAGAGATGATACAAATTCTGACCAGGATCATCAGTCGAGGATCGAAGACAACAGCTTCGTCTCACGGACTTGTATCCTACAGGAGACGAAACCCGACAAAAAGAATGCGAGACCCCAGCCCATCCAAGCCAAAACTCTCCTCCTCTCCGCCCAGCGCGCCCGTGACCGGGAGCAAGGCTTGGCGGCCATTCGGGCCTGGGAACTTTCTACGACGAGTCATGAGAAGGAGATGCGCGAGCGAGAGCGCTCTCCGTCGCTTCACCAGCGCGGGATTAGGCGGACTGTGAGACGCGACGTTTCCCGAATGATGGGCGTGCACGCTGTGAGTGCTTGGGAGCGGGCTGTGACGCGTAGGTCTCGGCGAGATCAGGTGGGGGGACAGGAGCGTCCTCCACGCGTTGAGAAGGACGTACGCATTGTTCTCTGGGCGGCTCGTCGTGCTTAGGTGAGCGGGGTTCTTGGAGTCAGCGTTCTGGGTGGTGTTTTGGAAATCTATAGGTGTTGTATTTAATGGATGTGGTTTTTTTACTACTTGCTGTTTAAAATACTCGTGATACTCGTCTCGAAGAGCTGGATTTACTCAGATTTTCGGGACGGATAAGCCTGACTGCGGTCCCCCTATTCTACATTGTCATACTCCTGGTCGCTGGAGTGTGAACTGGTGAGATTACACGGTGTATCATTGGTGAGAAGATCGCGAAGCACAACCGTTGGACGAGTCCCGATTGTACCCTCCCTTGTTATGGTTGAGTCGCCGCTTGTGAGCGTCCCGTAGGTCTGTGTCCTTTCCCTGTGTTTGCACAAGACGTCACTGGCGAGATTGCGAATGGTCCTACAGCTCGAAGTGAAGTTTTCGAGGTCGCCGTTGGGGATTGTGTCGACGATAAGGAGCAAGACTTTGTTGGGAATTTTGAGAAGTTAAGACATAGTGCGCACCTTGATAAATGATGAAAAGGGACACAAAATTGGTGGATTGTGTATGCATCAGGGGGCAGGCGGGACCGGATTTTTCACCCTCTGTTTTTTGCATAGCAAGCTCAGAGGACTCCATAGCATGAATTATACTACCTATTGCTGACAGAGACGTCAGACCTACCCTGAAGAGACCCGTCACGTAGCCTTTTGAGGGATCAAGGCTGCGAGCATAAGAATTGCGACAACAGCAATACTAACTAGATTTGACATCATCCTGTGTTGTAAAGTAGGTGCTATAATTGCCAAATGTCTTCCAGTAAACTTGGATGTAGCGGCCACCTATGACAGTAGTAGCCTTTTGGTGGACTTTTTTATGTGAATATCGACAAGTTGCCGATCAACGGGCCCTATGAATGATCAGAGAACACGTTCGGCCGCCTGGACTACCACGAAGCTAGCTAATTTCGGTGTGACGTAAAACATACCATGTAGACCAGCGTGCGAGTCTTGATCCTCCACACTTCTGGGCAGCAGATCTTGATCCAGTCATCCTGGTATTGGCCATAGGCGTAGAGCACCTTTCCGGCGAATATCAGTGTCAATCTCAAAGACTCTTCATACATATCCCAGGTACAATACATTGCCTCACTAGTCCCATCCGACAACTCCCGAATAGAGAAAAAACGTGTCCCAGGCATAGCGAGCGAACGAACGAACGCACGTAATATGAACTCTTCAGACAGCTTACCTGACCATAGTAGTCCCCCTGCCCAAAATGTGACGCGGTATAATACGTCAAACTCCTCGCCTCAACCTCACCCGCCAAGATCTCAATGACCTGCGTACTAAATGCATGCTGCGTTCCGACCGGCGACAAGCTCGATTCCAGCGCCGACACAACCGCAGGCAGACCCGTCAGGACGCCCAAGGGTTCGGAGTAATTGGCGACAACATGTTGGGTGAAGACGAGGTCTAGGGCGGCGAAGTTCTTGCCGTCGATCGCGAGCGGGTAGTGCGCGAGCGTTTCACGGATCTGGTTCTCGATGGTCGGGTTCTGCGGTGTCAGGGAGAGCGGGTATGTGGTTGGTAGAGAGTAGAAGGGTATTGCGGCTGTGAGGTTGGTAGCAGAAGACAGCTCTGAGAGCGATCGCTCTTTATTGACTCCGAGGACGGTCGTGGTAAAGGAGAGGGAGACGAATAAGATGAGGCTGAAGCTGGGCCACGAGGTTGGTGAGCAAAGCATTGTGATGGCACGAATCGAAGGATGTCTGGCGACGCTTGAGTGTAATACGGTATTGTATTGAGGTGTTTCGGTGTCAAGAAACGGTATAGAGAACGTGGAAAGCCCGCTAGAATCGAATTTCAATTCACCGAACTTCCTTAATAAGATGTGCAAAATATTCGAAGTGAAAATTACATCGATAAATATAACTAAACGGCTGAGGCTACTAAGCGTTCAACGTTTTTTAAAATCGTATATAATTTATAATATATATCTTATATTAGCGAACGAGTAATATTAAGAAATTATTATAATTTAACTTATATATATATATAATATACGGAGATTATTATCGAAAGTTCTAAATATACGCTAAAACTCTTAATATTCTTAATATTTCTAATATTTTAGCAAATTTCTTAAATAGCTTTATAATCTATATACGATATTTTATATAATTACGTATATACTAATTTACTCGATTAACTAAATTATAAAGTCGCTTATCTTCTTCTTTACGACTCTTTCGATACTTATTATTATCTTATAAATAAATAACTTCGATAATATATCTAGATATACGCTCTATCCACTTCTAAATTCTCTTCTATAATAATTTATACTTTTAATAATAGATCTATCGCTTTTCGATCTTCTTTTAAGTCTTAGATATATCGTTTCGAGTTATATATCGCTTTATCTAATTTTAGCTTCGACTAAAGCGAGTATTTATAATCTAATTTCGTCGTTATAATTAATACTCTAAGTATTAAATATTATTTAAGATTAAAGAGTAATAGAAAGATATCTATTTACTATATTAAATATATATTAAATATATACTAAAAAGCTTTATATTCTTCTTCTATTCTTTATTTCTTATAATATTCTTATTAGCGTAAGTATATATAATATTATATTATTATTATTACTATATATATAGTAATATCGTAATTATATACCTCGTATATATATAGTAATATCGCTACTATATACTTTATATATATATACTTTATATATATATACTTTATATATATATACTTTATATATATATACTTTATATATATATACTTTATATATATAGTATTAATATCGCTATTATATAAAGTATTAATATTTAAGATATTTAAGATATTTACTAAGAATACTAAGAGTTTTAAAGCTCTAACTCTAATATTTAAAACTTTCGATAATAATCTTCGTAAAAGAAATTAATTATCTATATAATCTATAGATATATATATATACGATATTAAGTCTACGCTAGTAACTCTATAAGTATCTCTAAGATATCTTATAATAAGTAATATACGAGATTTTATATGACTAACTTTTATTATATTAGATCTAGTATAATATAATATACGATTTACATTTCCAACTACGAATACTTAAGTGAAAGAAGAAATGATAATAATAACAATAGAGACTATTAGAATCGATATAGATGTAATATTAATATAGATATATTAAATAAGATAACTAAGATATCGAACTATATAGATAAAAAGAAGATATAATATAATAGAAGATATCTTCGTTAAGGCTCGCTAGTTATAGGGCTAAGAAGTATATTAAGAATATACTTATAATACTACTTCTCTTCTTTATTAAATTATATTTCATAATTAATAAGTAAAAAGATAGAAAAAATGAGTATATATACACGCTTAACGCTTGAAAAATAATAAAAGTAGTAAAGAAATAATCGTATCCGGGAATTTCAGTATCGTATTTTTCTCTATAAGAGGTATTGAGGACAATAGTAGCTCTTTATATTTACGCTATAGCGATATCGCTAGCTAGAATATAGACGTATATAGAAAGCTTAGCCGAGAGGAAATCGATATAATATAGCGAAAATTATATTTATAAGCGCAGGAATAAATAATAGCGATTTTCGAATTCGTATTTAAGCGAATAAGATATCGATAGAATAATATAACGTAATTAATTAAGGGCTCTCGAATCGAATTAAGCTATAGACGCTCTAAATTTTAATAGAATTTATTTATAACCCGTCTATAGATATTAATAAATCTAGAAATTTAGTTTTCTAGATATAGAATTTACACTTAAGAATATTTATCTAAAGATCGATATCTTTTAATTTTTAAAGAATTTATCTAACGTATTAGACGTATTTCTTTTTTATCTTACTATAAATAAATATATTATCGAGATAGATTTAGTAGAAATCGTTTAGATATTTAAATAGAATATTATTTATATATTATTAATATATAGCTAGACCGTTAATTAAATTAAAGAGAAGAATTTAATATTTATATACTCTAAGAGAGATAATAAAAGTAATAAAATTCTTACTATCGAAATATATATATAGTTTATTAAACGCGGCTATAATATCTAATTAAGTAAGATATTTATATTTCTAAATTCTTATTAAAACCTCGTCTTTTAATAAGATTAAGTATTGATTTCTTTTAATAATAGCGTTTAGCTTTCGATAGTTTATATAAAAATATAACTCTCTATTTAGCTTTTCCGCGAATAGAATAGATAAGGCGAATAATATATAACTTAATATTATAAATTCCTTCTTTAGATATTTATCTAGATACTTCTTTATCTATTTTAATTTATATTTTAATATTAAATAGATCTTACTTTTCGAAAGTTTCGTTTTATCGAAATTATTATTAAATTTTAATTTATAATTATAAAGATAATATAAGAGAAATATATTTATCTTAATTCTATTAAAAATATTTAGATAGTCGTAATACTCTAAAGATAACTTACGTTTTATCTTTTTAGAATTAATCTTATTAATATTATTAATTTAAATAGAATAATTAGAATTATAATATCTTTTATATTTCTTTTCTAAGTTATAAAAATAGAGTTTATTAATTAATATATAAGGTTCGCGAGCTATCTATATAGTAAGAGATATATATAATATTAATAAGTTATTATAAATCTCATTTATTATTAATATAAATAGTTTATTATCTTTTTATAGATTAATTAATAGTAGGCTATTATATTAATCTTAGCGATATTAATAAACTTAGACTTCTTATTATTCTTATTTTTATTTAATAAGAAGATATTTAAATTAATCTCGTTATTATAGATAAGTAGAAAATAGTTTTATTATTTTAATATAATAGATAGAGAGATAGATAATATAAGTAATTAAAGCTTCGAAGTTAATAGAAAAAAAAGTTCGTTTATTATTAATATCTAATTATTATTATAATTATATTAACTAAGTAAAAAGAGTATCTTATTTTATAATATATTAAGAATTACCTCGTATTTATTTATTTAAGATTTTTTAATTATTATATCGTATTTTAATAGTATAATTAGTATTAGATTTTTTTTTTTTTAATAGTCTTTTATTATTATCGTAGAAAGTAAATAGTATATAATTAGTCGTTTTACGATCTAGCTATTATAATTTCTTAATAATTTAAATTATAATAGTAGAAGTAATTTTAAATATAAGGTCTTATATATTATTAAGACTAGAAACTCGTTTATAACTATATAAGTATCGATATATTTACTATCTATAAGAGAGTTCTTAAATAAATAAATTCTTTCTTATAAGAAAAGCGTAATTTATATATAAAAAGATAATGTGCTAGAGCGTTATTAAAAGTATTTACTAAGTATATTTTATAAGTATCTCTTATTATAACTTTAAAAGAGGTTATTTATTTTTTAAATTTAAAGAAGAATCGTCATTACTTATAGTATCGATATTATTAATTTCAAATTCTTCATCTATTTCTATCGCGTGAAATTATATTTTTTTAAAGATCTTTTTATTAGTCTCAATTTAAATAGTTATTATATAGTTCTTTCGATAGTAGTTTTTCTTATTATAGTTATAGTATATTAATTCTCTTAATTTTAAATTAATCGTAATATTTAAAAGCGTAGTAATTATACTTAAATTGAATTTAATAATAAGTATAAAATATATATTAATTATAGATATTATCGTCGATATTCGTATTATAATTAATTTAATAATAGTTTTTATAAATTTAAAATTCTTATAATTAGTACGTTATAAGTTATCTAGCTTTTAAAAATATTTTTTTATAATCTTTAAAATAATAAAACTTTCTATAATCTACTATAACTTTCTTAATTTCTTTCTTAATTTCTTAAAAAGATAATTTTTTAATATTTAAGTTTTTTTAATATTAAGAATAATATCTAATTAAATAAGATTTAAATAGAAATCGATAAAGAATTAAGTCTTTTATTATAAAGTATATATATTATATAATATATTACTACATCGATCTAAGTTCTTATAAATATTAATTTATTTATTTATAATTTTATTAAAAGATTAATATAAGTTAATAAAGTTTCGAAGTCTTTTATATATTATATATTATATAGTTTTATTATCGAGTTATAAGACTATATAGATTATCTTAAAGTTCTTAATAAAATAATAATTACTATTAATTTTAAATTTCTATTCTATTCTAAAGAATTAGTCGTTTTAAATAAAATTAATATCGTTAATAAATAAAGGTAGATTTAAGATCTTAACTAATTTTTCTTTTAATTATTTAGATATATATTTCTTCTTAATTAAGAATAGCTATAAGTCTTTTATAAATTATAAATTAAGATTATTAACTTTTTATTATAGAGAAGTTATATTCTTCTAAAAGTCTTAAATTAATTAATTTATCTTCTCGATTATTCTATAAATCTAAAATAAATTATTTATAATTAGATTCTTTTTTATTATAACGATATAATATCGAGTAATAATCTCTTAGAAATTATCTCGCTTCTAATAAATCTTATTTAGTATAATTATAAATTCGTTAAATTAATATTTAAATTAATATTATAATTATAAAATATTAATAATATCTTTAAGTATTTCTATTAAGTTAAACTCGTCAGCTATATTATCTAATAGAATTAATATTTATCGAAATTTAATTTACTTAAGTAAGATCTTAATTTAATTTATTCTTTTAATATTAGACTTTATTATAAAAAAGAAG